AAATCTTAAAAACAAAAATGAGTGGCATAAGGCCCTAGCCATTCTTTAGAAATAGCTTAAAACCTTTCTGGCAGATAAAGCCAGAGGAAATACAGTGAGCTACAGCCACAAAGTAAAAACAAATCTGCTGCACGGAGAAGCCCAGGTAGTAAAAGCAGAGAGAAAGGACTTCTCAGGGTCTCATAAAGAGGATGCTGCATAAAAGTCCCAGAAGACCAGCACAGAGCTTGGCTTATTTTTTGTCAATTCTTTATTTAAATTCAACTTAGTTAACATATACTGTAGTATCAGTTTCAGAGATCGAATTTAGTGATTCATCAGTTGCATACGTGCTCATTCTATCACGTGCCCTCCTATTAAGGCATTAACTCATCACCCAGTTACCCCATCCCCCCACCCCCCACCCCTCCAGCAACCCTCAGTTTGTCCTCTATACTTAAGAATCTCTTATGGTCTGTCCACCTCTCTGATCTCATTGTTTTATTTCCTTCCCTTCTCCTATATTCATCTGTTCGGTTTTTTAAGTTCCACATATGTGTGAGGTCATATGGTATGTCTTTCTCTAACTTACTTAACTTAGCATAATACCCTCTAGGCTCCATCCATGTCGTTGCAAATGGCAAGATTTCATTCTTTTTAATGGCTGAGGAATATTCCATTATAAATATATAAACACACACATATATATATGAACACGCATATATATCCCCCATCTTCTTTATCCATTCCTCTGTTGATGGACATCTGGGCTCTTTCCATAGTTAGGCTATTGTGGACGTTGCTGCTATGAACACTGGAGTGCATGTGCCCCTTCGAATCACTACATCTGTATCCTTTGGATAAATACCTAGTGGTGCAATTGCTGGGTCACAGGGTAGCTCTATTTTTTTAACTTTTTGAAGAACTGTTTTCCATGCTGTTTTCCAGAGTGGCTGTACCAGCTGGCATTCCCATCAACAGTGTAAGAGGGTTCCCCTTTCTCTGAATCCTCGCCAGCATCTGTTGTTTCCTGACTTGTTAATTTTAGCCATTCTGACTGGTGTGAGGTGGGATCTCATTGCGGTTTTGATTTGTATTTCCCTGATGCCGAGTGATATTGAGCATATTTCATGTGTCTGCTGGCCATTTGTATGTCTTCTTTAGAGGGGGGCATCTAATATATTTTGTCAAATGAAATACTGGATAATATCCTCAACAACATACTAGCAAAAAAATCAAACAATTTTCACAGAATGTGCAGGCCTGTTCTCTGATGTAGGCGGACACAGAATATGGTGACCCCACATATGTGAGCAAGCACAGCCAAGAACAACAGAGCCCAACTGGGACAACCTAACCCACAGACTCACACCCTTGATGTTTACGGTCTATGTCACTGAGGTTTTGTAGGTGGTTGCTACTCACATTATTATATGGCAACAATTCACTGATGCACCTATCCTGCTCACGAAGTGCTGAGAAATGTTTTTCAACTGCTTGTGGAATTGACATTCTCTCTCTCTTTTTTTAAATTTCTTTTCAGCGTAACAGTATTCGTTGTTTTTGCACCACACCCAGTGCTCCATGCAATCCGTGCCCTCTCCAATACCCACCACCTGGCTCCCCCAACCTCCCACCCCCGGCCCCTTCAAAACCCTCAGATTGTTTTTCAGAGTCCATAGTCTCTCATGGTTCACCTCGCCTTCCAATTTCCCTCAACTCCCTTCTCCTCTCCATCTCCCCTTGTCTTAAGGGAAGACAAAAGCAAGGGACCTAGAGCCTGACACTCACTAACTATTCTGCCACTCAGTACTGGCATGACTTCGAACAAGCTGCATTAGCTGATCCTGCCTCCATTTCCTTAACAGTAAAGTGGAGACAATACTAGTGTACTATACTATAGCACTAGTATACTCTGATTGTTTGAAATGAAATCAAATAATTCATGTAAAAAATTTACAATTGAGTATGACACATAATGAGCTCCATAAACGTTAGATTAAAAAAAAGCTGAACCTGGCAAAGATTGTGACTGAATAGAAGAACCCCACCACTACACAGATGTGGGCTGAGAAATTTTTGGCAAGCGGGACCCAAGATTCTGTTTTAATATAAAAATAGGACAAAGTTCCAAAATTCTTCTCCATAAATTATTCTAGCCAAAATTATTTTGACTGTGTTTCTAGAGCCGAAGTGAACTTAAATACTTATCTTAGCTATAAGAAAATCTCATTAAAGCACCTTGAGAATGCACGTCCTAGAGGAGATGAGGAATGACTGCTAAATAGGTACAGGGTTTCTTTTTGGTGCTATGAAATGGTTCTGGAACAAGACAGTGGTAATGGTCATACAACGTTGTGAGTCTACTGAAAACCACTGAGTTACAGACTTTATAATGGTTAAAATGGTGAATTTTATCTTAATAAACTAAAAGAACATATGGCCTCGAGCCAATTCTGCAATCAGTTACAACCTGTCAGTTGTAAGTTAAAGGTACATTAAAAACAACAGGAAACTTTGGCTTTAGACAGGTATTCTCCTCTGACAGAATAGATAACTGGCCTAAATATCTATGAAAGCCTTTCCTAGCTCATAATAATGAAACCCCATTAGCTATTTAAAATAGTTAGCTCAGACTTTATTGGTGCTTTTTATGAGCTAAGCACTCTTCAACTGCTTTGTAAACAGTTTTTCTCAGTAGGGGCCTGAGTGGATGTTAAGTGGGACAATTCTTCCCTCTACTATACTGGTATCTCTGGAAAACCCCACCCTTTTCCAACCACCCCTTTGAGTCTCACAAACCTATGAAGTAGAGGCTGTATTACTAATGAGGAAACTGAGGGTCAAAGAGATTGAGTAAAATAAGATCACAAAGGTATTAGATGGTAATGTTGGAGTTCAACCCAGGCAGCCTGACTGAGGCCTGGGCTTGCCTATCTCCTCTCTACAGTGTGAAGAAATGTTGCATCTAATATATTCAGTATGTAGTATCAAGCAATTTTCAAGTAAAAGTATTATCTGATAACCTCAGTGACTAGAGAATCAAAGGCCAGGGAAAGATCAATAAAAGCCCAAAATTTCTTTTTATGTTTATAAAAGATTCCTCCACAAGCTAATTAGGAACATAATCATGATTAATAAAGAAATGGCCACAGCTCCATCTCATCGGCTCCTATGTGGACAACCACCTAAAAACTCAGATGAGCAACTTATCCTGATATCATAACTTATATGGGAAGTCTAACAACTTAATAGGCCTGAAAGTTGGGGACCAAATAATGGCTCTTTTTAAAAACAGACTGACTACATGCTTAAGAACCACCACCTGAAAGCAGACCCAGAGCCTCAGTGAGGGTAAAGAAAACGAATCAGAAGTCCAGTCCCAGTCAGAGCTGTTGACTCCTTAGCAGCCCTCCTTCCTGGGCACCTGATGAACTGTGAATTTCTTGGTCAAGTGTAGAAAGTGTACGAAGATGCCTTGATAAACCGCACAGATACAGCACCCAGTCAGACCAGCAGTTTATAAAGCTAGACAAATCTCTGCCAGAGGGAAGGAAACCTCACTCATCAGACGCCCACCTTCAGCAGCAATCTGAAAATCTGCTCTCCTCACTTCATCGGGTGGCCACAGGCATTCTTATACAAACTTAGTAAAACTGAATTTTACTGAGGTAATAGAAAGTTTATAAAAGTATTGTATTTTGTTAAGCCCCCCAGGTAGCTTATTAGTGTTCTACAGTCACTGTGCAGGGTTTTATTTTTGCTTATTTTCTCTTCTCCCAATTAGGAAGATCTCATTAACCAGGCAACTGATCAGAAAGTCTGGTTCCTTCTAATTCCTCCCATCCTTCAAATCTCCCCAGTCCCATCCCAAGTGAAAACAAGTTATACAGGAATGTTATAACTATTATAATAGGAATGTTATAACAGTTACCTTTACAAACTGACCCTTTTCTGTACTTAAATCTCAATAAATGAATTTTCTTATTAAGGTGCTACCTAAGCAAACTTTCTTCTCTTTAATATGGTACCCCAGCTACTGACCAGACTTCTGGAACAAATTCTTCCTTTTTTGTTTTTAACTTAAGTGTAGTTGACACACATGTTGTATTCGTTTCAGGTGTACAAGATAGTGGATCAGCAATTCTATGTTAGAAACTGCTTACCACATTAAGTGTAAATCCTTCCTTTCTTATATTAACTAACATCTCTTTGTTACATCTACACAAAAGACCTCAGTTTTAAAAAAGAACACACTATGATTCCCTTATATCTATAATTCCATTTCCCTACCAGTTTAATCTGGCCTTGCCACTAATTAGTATTACTCCAATAGCCAGTTACATATAACTGTAATCCATCTTAGCTAATGGAACTCAAGACCAGTAGACTCAAACAATATGGTCTAAGTGGTTTCACAGATCTAATATGCCTAAGCTCCATGTGTTATTCTCACACTTCCTTAATTGTAAGGTGAAGACAGTAATAGGAATAGTAGTAACAATAGCAGGCAATACTTACAGAGTCCCCTATTATGCACCAGGCAGTTTTAAGAACTTTACAAGTATTAATCTAACCCCAAGAAATGGGAGCTATTATCACCCAAATTTTTCAAATAAGAAACGAAAGCACAAGGAAGTTAGATAACTTGCCCCGGATGAGACTAGTATGGAACCTGGCTTCATCCGAACCTAGTTGGTCTGACCCCAAGACTTCCACTATGAACCACTAATGCTATATCACCTCTCAGTATAAGCAAGGATTAACTCAAAACTTAAGTCACCACAAAACCGATTTAGTTAATGAAACAAACTGAACTATAAATAAATGAAAACCCAGATTCACAGCCCTTTTCTTAAATAGCAACACGTAGAGGTTCTGAAACACTGCAAAAACACTGCCACTTTAATATGTCATAGAGAAATTTAAATAGGCATCATTAACAAAAAAATCCTCTGTTCAGCCAACAATGCTCTTGATCATGCCACATGCTACTACAAAGAAGTTTCAGACAGGATTACCTTGTTTTCTTCTATCTTCCTTTTCAACTTTTCTTCCAGATCCCTGGTCTCTTCTGAGCCCTTGAGTTTTCTCTGCTCATAATTTTCGCATGCCTCCTTAAGCTGCTCCTGTAAAACCTGGTACTCCTTCTCAATCTGTAAAATATCTCCCTAAAGGTAAATTACAAAATTATCTATTAAAAATAATTTAAAATACCTATTTCTGATCTTGTTCTAAACAGTCTCTTAAACAGAAAAGAATAAAAGGCAGATGAAAATTTACAAGAGAAATGTCATGATAATTCATTTTTACTCACATGTTTTGCCTCAAAAGGATCATATGGCTCAGTATTGACTTCTTGATGTGTTACATTCCAAGACACCTTTGGGGCAAAACAAACACTTAAATTTATCTCAATTGTTCTAGTAAAATAAATCCATCATGTAATGACATTTTAAGACATGCCCACAATTTTTTTAAGAGTTTTTTTGACAATTTTAATAATGTTGTACACTTTCTACAAATACTTGTAATAGAAAAGAGCTATATGTAGAATTAGTAAAATCAAAAAGGAATTTGGCTCATTACTCTAAAGTTCTTTTTTAAGATTTTATTTATTTGAAAGAGAGAGCCTGTGAGAGTAGGAGAGAATGAGTAGAAATAAGAAAGCATGAGCAGGGGGAGGGGCACAGAGAGAAGTTGGCTCCCTGCTGAGCAGGGAGCCCGCCATGGGGCTCCATCCCAGGACCCTGGGATCATGACCTGAACCGAAGGCAGCTGCTTAACCGACTGAGCCACCATGGTGCCCCTTAACATCTTCTTTCAAAGCTTTCTTAGAAAACAAAAATGTAATGAGGAGGGGGATAATCCAACAAAGGGTTAATGAATTCATACCCTATAGAGTGAACTACAGGAGAATGTCAATTTAGTCTATGCTTGTGAGGAACTTTTATTTGCATCTCTCATATCTCTCCACCTGTGTTTTATTTTGGTTTTTTAACTCCCCCATTCTCCTCTCCTGTTTTGGTAGGAGAAACTGGTCACACATATAGCCCAGACTCTGCTTTTTTGGGCTGCCTGTGCAAAAAGCACATTTCCCTTAATTCTCCATGCAGCAAGTCTTGTGGGGCAAGCACCCCAAGATAGGAGGCTTCCTGCGTCCAGCACTACTATGCTTGGACGGGTGAGCGGATGCTTCAACGTTAGGACATGTAAGCGCTATGGAAACAAACAACATCATCCTTATGGTGCCATTATTAATTATTAAAGTGATGTTTTGGCTCCATCTGCTGATTCCTCTATCTTATTTCTCAGCTGGTATAAAACTTGGTTGGAAGAAAGTGTATTATTTACTAGACCCAAAAATTATTTCTGCATTACCCATCATGCCCTACAAAAGGGTTCATATTTTTAAACATTTCCAGGCAAAAGATTTCATAACCATTATAAAGTCAATTGTTAAAAAGAATTTTAGTAAATATAATGGCAATGAAAGATAAGAAGGAAAATTTAACTTCAGTATTAAGATAACTTTTTTCTATTTAAGTCTTACCTGTATGGCAACCACTTGTGTACGTGCAGTATTCGTTACTTCATTGGTAGTGTCTGGTCTTATTTCCTGCTTGTCGGCAGCATTTCCACAGTGACCATCACATCTGTTAGACTCACTGAAGGCTGTATCAGCACCATCTGTGCTGCGCTGTGTCTTTACTGATACTTCCGAAGAGTCCTGAGGGATCTGTGTTTTAGGGGCCATCGGGTTACCAGGGGCACTCTCAGCATTCAGATGATGGCCCTCGAAACACACAGCATCGCTTTCCCCTGGTCTGTCACTGGCTATAAAAGATGGCGCCACTGGCACTGATCTTTGCAGCTGATACTCAGAAGAAACGTTGGCCAGGGGTGTGTAAATGTTAGTGTACTGGGGCAAACTCGGTAACACATTTATGTATGTTGGTGGTGTCTGGGTAATGCCAAACCCCCGAAAGGGGAGATATGTACAGTATCCTGTGACCAAATGGGGCTGAGTCCAGTAGGTTGGTTTCACATCCTCAGAAGCTGGTTTGGGAGAATGAGAGGATACTCGCTTGTGACCTGCATCCTCGGACACTGGTTTGGGAGAATCAGAAGAGACCTCTTTGGGCTTCTCATCCTCAGAAACTGATCTAGAAGAACTATCAGACACTGGTTTCGGCTTCACAGCCTCACAGGTTGGTTTGGGCAAATTCGCAGCTATATGTTTGGGCTTCACAGCCTCAGAAGCTGCTGCTGAAGATAAATCAGACACTGGTTTAGATTTTATATCTGGTTTAAATTCCCTAGCAGATGGATTCAGTGGTAGTTTGACTCGTAAATACTCCCCTGTTTTTGAAATTTCTTCCACTTTTGTCTTAATGTTTTTCTTCTTTCTCTTTTTCTTGAGCCGCAATGCAACTTTCTTCAGTGCAATACAGTTGTCAATCACAACAAAACGAGGACATCCCAGGAGAAAAGACTTCAAACCTCCGGCTTTTTCTAGTATCTGTCGAGTTTCTTCTGGGAAGAATTCATATTCTTCAGAGAACATTTTATTACTCATGTCCAAAGGACCATGCTCCTCCAACAACTGAGAGAAATAACTTGGAAAAAATTATGTTTACATGTTATAAGGAAGTACTTATACATGTTCATTTGAAAAAAATATTTTTCCCAAAATTCTCCCAAAGCAAAATACTATTTCAGCTCTGACTGATCTCAACAGCTCCCCAACATATTACACTCATATTAAATCTGACAAAAGCTAACTGCAATCAATGATACTCTAAAAGCAAAATATTGTTTACCCTTTGGAAAATAATCCTTAAAAATTTTTTTGAAAACCAAAAAGATTAAAAAGTTACTTTATAAATTTCAATTATATAATTACACAATCTATTTTAAAAGTAATGAAAAGAAAATTTATAAGAATGTCAAATGAGAAGACATAAAATTTCACTAAGATCCTATGGAATTTGCATATAGTAGTAATCAACATTTTTCTGTTTAAGAACAGACAATGATTTAGAGGTACTGAAATTCATTGTCTGATCAATAAACCAATAAGATTAGACACACATTAATGGGGCGATCCCTTAATCTAGCTCCAGTTCTGGATTGGGACTCCAGTTCTGGGGCTACTTTTTTCCCCATTCTGGGGTCAGCCTCAAAGAGCCTTACTCTTCCATTTGGATTTGGTCTTCAGTCTGTAACAGTGGCATTAACTAGCAAGAAAGACACATAACACACATCACCAAAAAGATTTGCTTTTTCAAGAGCAAAAATCTCCAAAGGGACTTTCTTAGGAAATTAACGCTAACCAGAAAGACAACTTATTTTTGGGGAAGGTAAAAACACCACTTCTTTGAAGCAAAAGAAACCACTTTATGTACAGATGCTGCTTGAGATAAAGGGCTATTTTTGCAAATGATTAACATCTACCAAAGTAACTGATACTTGGAAGGTTAAAGACCAAGCGCCACTACTTTTCATCAGCAATGCTACTTTAAATACCTAGTGTTTTTTTTGTTTTTTTTTTTTTAATACCTAGTGTTTTTTGATGACTACTTTCCCCTTAGGATAATCTCTACAACTGAAAACTACCCAATACACATACTGTTTTTGCAAGGTAACAGATTAGATTTGTTTTCACTTTAAGATTCCCATCAAACTTCATTTTTTTAAATGATTTTACTTATTTTAAAAAGCGAGAGTGCACATGTGTGCAAGAGCACTGTTGAGGGGAGGGGCAGAGGGAGAGGGAGAGAAATCTTCAAGCAGACTCCCCGCCGACAAGAGGCTCAATCCCAGGACTCTGAGATCACAGCCTGAGCTGAAATCAAGAGTCGGTTGCTTAACCAACTGAGCCACCAAGGGGCCCCTCAAACTTCATTTTTAATGAGAAATCTCTAAAAGCAGAAGAGTCTAAAGGAGAATCCTCTTGTTGAGGGTTTTGGCTGATTGGCAGAACTTCCGCTCTACCATCTCTCTAAAGAGAGAAATCTTTCCATTAGGTCACGAATGGTGTATGTGTATTTACTCTCTGCTCTCCATGAGGAATACTAAAGAGAATCATTGAAAAACAAAGCTTTTCCACCTGGATTAAAACACTTAAATACAAAATGGCATAACTAAAAAACAGAGATTACATGCAAGGAAACCACTCTAAGTAATTTGACAATGAGCTTTTCAATAGCTAGCAAGGTAAATGCCAGTGAAGATCTGCTGAATATTATCAAGCAACTAATAAAAGTCATGTTCTTGAATAGTCAAGGATATGAAAAAATCCTCACTATGCATTTTGAGTGAAAAAGGTTATGACAAAGCTGAATTATAGTAAAATCAGTTTATAAATTTTAAAACCTATGTTTTACACATCTACATTTTAAAAGCCTGAAAGAATATACACCAAAAATTAACTGTGGTTGTATCTGGGTAATAGAATTATTCATAATTTTTATCTTTCCTTTATTTAAAAAAATCCCATAGTAATTTATATTATTAGTTTTACAATCAGAAAAAAATGTTTTCAAAGAAATAGAGCCTCCATGTTTTTTCCACTGGCTAAGAAGCAATGAATTTTTCAAACACTGGAGTAGAACAAAATTTAATTTAACACGGGTCCCTAGCCCAAAGGAAAACAGTATTATAACCATATTGTGAATAAAATTTTTATAGTCACTATTATTTGAAATGCAACACAAAATGAATTTAATTCTATTTATACATCTTACTAGCCTTGAAAAATCATCTCTGTAAGATACACAATAGGTCCAAAATAGCATAAATATGATTTCTTAATAATCCACCCATCAATGCACACTTAACAGTGGTACTGGTGTGGCTATTTAGCAGACATGACAGAGGCCAAAGCTCCAAAGAAAAATGTTAGATCACAACTGAAATGATGGAGGTGACTCAGCATCTGACAAGTTACACAAGATTCATCTCTCTCATCATGGCCTGTTCTCGCTCAAAGTCTCAGACTCTGCACTTCAGGACCAGAGACAAAAACGAGATATACTGCGAGACATACTGAATGTGACAGGAGTTTTTTTTAAAAAAAAAAAAAAAAGCTAATATGCCAGAGATATTAATAGTTATGTATATATGCACATATAATTTCATAACTGGATGATGACCATTAGTGTCTGAAATGGTCACGGTTGGTCATCCTACAGCGCTATTACCGTCACTGCCGGCACAGCAGCAACAGATAAGGATGGAGAAAACATTTCAGAAGGCGCCCCCACCCTACTACTCTAGGTGTGGTCCTCTGAAAAAAATCACTGTTTTATACAAGCTCATGATTCTTATTTCAGAGTAATTTTATTTGCAGTACACTGTTATCTGACCAATGATCAATTCAGCTCTCCTACTATTTGCAAGCTGCGTGGAAGGACCGTATCTTCTACTTTTTCTGCAATCCTCCACAGTGCTTAACTCAAAGTGGTTAAAAAACACTGGCCAACTAAGTAACACCACTGATGAGGTATTAGGAAAAGCTAAGTGTAGAATACTATCCATTGAAATTTAATTTGCTTCAACTATCTAAAATCATAAAATATTAGAACTAGAAGGGCATTAGGTCAATTAAACACCAATCTTTCCAGTCTCCTACTTCACGGTGAAATACTCAAGATAAAGTTAAAGCAGTGATCCCAATATTCTTGATTCCCTAATATTTTTTTTCTCTATATTCCTATCATAAAGAAAATTGTAGTAGTTTCATTTTTCTTTCTTTTTATGCACTGGCTCCTAAAAGAAATATTTATGTATTTTTTCTTTTTTAAAGTTTTTGTTTGTTCACTTAAGTAATCTCTACACCCAGTATGGGGCTTGAACTCACAACCCCGAGGATCAAGAGTCATGTGCTCCTCTGATTGAGCCAGCCAGGAACCCCTGAAAAAAAATCATTCTTAAGCCCATCATCATATGTCTACTTTTGAAAATTCAAAGAAACAACTGTTTTGAGGTGTAACTTCCTACAACTTCATGACTTTAAGTTCTATATCAAAATACAAATCAGCCTATTTTTTTTCCTTAAGTTGTTTAACTCCTCCCACTTATAATAGTAATAAATCTTTAAGAAGCAAGGTCCTCAGAATAACAGTTTAGCTTCAGTTCTGGATGTCTGAAGCAAAGCCTACCATACTTTAAGAAATAACTAGTATAGTTTTAGAGCTGTTTGCATACGTCATCCAGGAGAGTTCTCTGGAAATATGACTTGTTCAGCATTTCAACTCTAAAGAAAAACCGTGAAGAGGAATCTACAAACGTAACTAGACTGAAAAGAAATAATGCAGCTGGGGAAAATAGGAGGAATGACTAAATTATGGATGAATGACAGGTTTTCCGAGAGAATAGTTAGCTTTTAAATTAGTTTTTTATTGCAGGTCTTAGCCCTCAATTTCTTTTTTTTTCTTAAGATTTTATTTATTTGAGACAGAGAGCATAAACAGGTCGAAGGGCAGAGCTGGAGAGGGAGAAGCAGGCTCCCGCTGAGCAGGGAGCCCAACACGCGCCTTGATGTTGGAGCCTGATCCCAGGACCCTGAGATCAGGACCTGAGCTGAAGGCAGATGCTTAACCAACTGAGCAACCTAGGCGCCCCTCAATTTCTCTTCTTAAGGAAGGTAGCAATGCCTTAATAGTAAGCTCTAAACAGTTAATTGCTTCCTAGATTTTCCTGAACTCTTTACTCCATTATTTTATCCACCCCACTCAGACGTATTAACTTGTCACTGGACTTATGAGATGCAAAACATCCACATCCACCAACAAAGGAACAGTAAGATCAACTCATCATACTACTCCTTGTCAAATGCGTAACTCCACCCTTATCCAAGAGAGATATGTTCCAAAACCACCAGGGATGCCTGAAACCACAGATAGTACTGAATCCTATTTATACTGTTTTGTTCCTACACATACATACCTATGATAAAGTGTAAGTTATAAATTAGGTGCAATAAAAAATTAATAGCACTAACTAATAATAAAATAGAACAGTTACAATAACATACTGTAATGAAAGTTATGTGATTGTGGTCTATCAAAATATCTTATTGCACTGTACTCAACCCTTCTTGTGATGATGGGAGAAGATAAAATGTCTACATGACAAGATGAAGTGAGGTGAGTGATGTAGGCACTGTAATGCACTGTTAGGCTTCAACTGACCTTCTGACAATATGTCAGAAGGAGGACCATCGGCTTCTAGAGCACGACTGATGGCGGTAAGAGAAACCTTAGAAAGCGAAACTAAGGATAATGGAGGAGAACTATATGCCTTGGAATTCATGATAAAAGATTATGGCTGGGGGGACCTGGGGGGCACCTGAATCAGTTAGGTGTCCGACTCTTGGTTTCACCTCAGGTCATGATCTCACGGGTCATGAGAGCAAGCCCAGTGCCAAGTTCCACGCTCAGCCTGAAGATTCTCTCCTTTTGCACTCCCATCCATGCACATGTGTGTATACGTCTCTTTCTCTCTCAAATAAACAAATATATCTTAAAAAAAACAACAACATTATGGCTAGAAACTCTTTAGGTCCTATCAGCATATACCAGATAAGTCTTAGAAATAGAAAATATCTACATTAAGCAGCTCAAACTGACAAAAACCAGTAATTACTAGGATTCTAAATTTAATAGTTAAAAACACTCAGTTAACTCCGTGTAATACCTGACAAAAGCTGTAAAAGTACTTTCCTTCCCTAGGTTTGTGAGCCAGTAAATGATTCCTTTAATAAGCACAATGGACACAAATCAAACCACTTGAGATCTTTAACTGGCAGCTTCAGTATAAAATAATTTTTGCAGGAATGTTAAACTACTTACTCATACAGAGTTGAACATTTTTGTTTTGGGTTAATGTCCCACAGCTTCTTATTACGGACAACATATTCACTACTGTGCTGCTCATAGATAGCTTCAAATTCTTCTACATCTTGCCGAAGGTGGTCAGGTACCACAAATGGGCCTGCAGGATTTGAATTGCGTCTGCAGATAAAAAAACAATTTTGTGAATCATAAACTTGTGAGGTTACCCAGATAATATTCCAATTTTACACAATTTAAAATTTATAATATAAAATGTATAACTTAAATTTTACAATGCAAAAAAACACTACCAGAAAATTCAATGTGGAAAAGTTACCCTTCCACAAATACATATATATGCCTGACCGCTGAGTAAGCACTTTTAACTAAGTACCAACCCTGGTCCCAAGAGCAAATTTTCTGAAACTCCCATTTTTAAAAGTATAATGTTACATTAATTGTAACTTGTTAAAGAGAAAAATGAAAGATTTTATTATAACTGCTATTAAGTCAAAATGAGATTGAGACACTTAATAAGAAGATTCTTTTTCTAAAATATAAGATTCTAGCACTCTAAAAAGATGTGGTAGTTTCAGTGTGAATTCTAAAACCAGGTTTTAATGGCTTTAATTCCTTGGCTCTGTTATTTACAAGCTTCAGGTTCTTGGGCACATCACTCAATTGTACCACTCAACTATACTGTGCATGACGGATCTCCTTATCTGTAAAATGGACACAGTAACAGTACTTACCTCTCACGGTGGAAGAGTGGATTCAGTGAATTTATATATGTAAAGCCAATGGAACAGTACCTGGTACGTAAGTGCTATCTAAGTATAGGCTATTACTATTTTAATTTAAAAGAATTCTTCCATTTAGAGAATCCATGAAAATGACTGTGGGAAAGCACCTGTTTTGACAACTCCTTTAAGAAATGTGAAAAAAAAATATGGGTTTCTAGTCCCTAAAGGAATGACATAAAAAGGTCACTGCTACTCACTACTTTTATTTCTTCATATGTCTGTTCGTTTCCTGAAAACTCAGTTTCAACAACCAGACACAACTGAAAACTGCTCACATCTAAAGTTAAACCACAACATCATGCACAGCTTCTGAAACATCTTCCTCTCTCCTACTATAGCAAATATGCTACTGATTATCAATAGGACATTTTTTTCACTGAACATATTAAGGACTATTTTCTAGGATCTTCCCACGGTATCTTGCACACAGTAAGTTCCCAAACTGATCTAATGAATGTCATTAGCCCAGTGGTTTTAATGTAGTTTATATGAATTCTTAATGCAGACAAGCCACACCATTTATTCAACCAAGATGGATCACATCAGGCTGTCCTAACAGATGCACATCTTTAGACAGTGAAGTTAGGGAAATAAAACACAAGTTTAATTTACGTTAAATTAACACGACTTGCTAAGTCAAAACTTTTGAATTAAAATGAAGCAAAAAATTTTAATTGTACTTACTTATGATCTTCACCTGAAGTGACAGTCTCATTATTTGTTGTTACTGAAGCTGTTCCAGACCCCACTAACATAGGCTAGTTTAAAAGAAAAATGAAAATGACTTTCCACCTTAGAACTCTATTAACAAAATTAGTATTAAAACCAAATGCTTATATAAATATGCACGCAAACTGCCAATATATGACTTAACTAAATTTTTCTTGTGTACAGGAACACATAGTAATAAAAGTTACAACAGCCATAAATAAGCCCAAATTAACATTCAGGTAGTTTTCAATTCTCTGAAAAATTTTTAAGTCAAAGATAAAAAGACAAGTTTTTTTTTTTTAAAGATTTTTATTTATTTATTTGACAGAGAGAGAGACCCAGCGAGAGAGGGAACACAAGCATGGGAGCTGCAGAGAGTGAGGGAAAAGCAGGGCTCCCACCAAGCAGGGAGCCCGATGCAGGGCCCGATCCCAGGACTCTGGGATCATGACCTGAGCCGAAGGCAGACACCCAACAACTGAGCCACCCAGGTGCCCCTCCTTTTTTTTTTTTTTTTTTTTTAAAAAGGCAAGTTTTAGTGGAACTTAAAAACAGCTGCTCTTATCCTCCCTTATATTTGTTCCCAGTCTCAACTCCTGTCCCCCTGAGCCCCCACATATACAACAGCCAAGAAGAACCCACCATAAGATAAACAGCACCCTATTTATCTCATGGGCTTGGCATGAATTCTAGATTAAATCTTAAAAAAAAGTCTTTCTCTATAAAATCCTTCAAAATATCCCCCCAAATTGGTTAATTCTAATTTATATATTCAATTATTTTATACAAGAATTGATACAGAAAATATACCTTTGAATCTTTTGGCTTCTTTTTCTTGCCTTTATTTTTTATCTTGGAAGAATTAAACTGGAAAAATGGGAGGAAAAAAACAATGAAAACTCAAATAGCAGAATTACGAAGCTCACAATAAAGATATCATAGTGTTTTAGCCACAAGTTGAATATATATAAAATAACAAAAATACTGAACAAAAATAACATTTAGTATATTAGCGCTAGTGTTATGATCTATAACAGAAAGGAGAAAGCTGAATGAGGACTATAACTAAAACTGCCCCAACATTTTAAACTCATTTTTAAGAAGGTTTATGTTATTTTAAGCAACTAATCAGTCTTTTAGAGTAACTCCAGTTATATGCTACTAGCATTTTAATGACATTCCTTTTACTAAGCTAAACTAGACGCTCTACAGCTGGCTAAACCCTGGGGGCACAGTGGACTTAGAAGACACTTAACTGCCCATGCTGTGTTAGCTGTGTTTCCATACTTACCTGGGCAGTATTTAACAGCAGATTAAGACAAAATTTCAAGTACAGATGACCTGATACTAAAATTCAGTAAACAAGCATCTTTCTGTCTGAAAACTGCCACAACCTACTAAGAAAAACTCTGTGATTATTTTAACTTGAACTCAGTTCGCAGCCATTCAAAACAAAGTCTCTTTACTTTCCTTACAGTGCAAAACATTAAAATTTTAATCGTTAAAGATAGATTTTCATTTTTATGCCAGGAGAAGACTAAAGAACTCCTTCCCTATTTCTTGAAATTAACATTTATTAGTTGCAAAACTTTATGGATACTGTCTAATTTAAGCCCCTAAGTTTGCTGACTGTCACTCTAAGAGGAAGACTGGTATTAACTTTCTAATAAATGAGCATACATCAGCCAGAAATCCTCCAGATTTGGTTCTAGAATGCCACTGTGATGTAAATGAACACTGGCTTGGGTACTCCTCTCTTCTCTGGCTAACACAAATTAGCACACTACAGTTAAAGGAATCAAGTAACTTACCGGCACATCACCACTGTCTTGTTTCCTTAACACAGTGCAGCGGCTATCTGTAGAAAAATACCGATGATTTGTGAGAAAATGAAAGTTTGCAGTGCCAAACAACACATTAAGCCTTAAAGGGAACCACCCCAGATACTACTATCATCAACTATATTCTACTCCTTATTTGGCTTTGACACTAATTTAGTTTAGAAACCAAGAGCAAAATGGCCCATTAAAAGGAAACAAACCACAAAGAACCACAAAATGTGAATCCAATTCAGCACGATTTGAGTGCTTTCTAGGGATCAAACTCTATGCCAGGTGCCGGGAATACAGAAATGCAAAAATAGTCCCTGCCACAGATAAGCTTGTGTCCTAAGTTTTATTGTGCAACATACACTAACAGGCAAACACTTGTAACCCAGTGTGCTAAATGCCTCAATAAATACAATGGAAACAAAACTAATGGAATAATAAAGTTTTCAAGGATAAAGGCCCAAGGAGAGGTCAGGGAGAGCTTGGTGGGGGAAGGCTATATGAAAGTGAGACTTGAACAACCAAATGAGTAGGACATGGCTGGAGGAAATGCCTGAGGAAAGACACAGGCAGGAAAGCACAAGGAAGGTTTGCACACCTTCAAGAAATGAGATGCATGTATAGAGGGCAGATGGGGAGAGTAATGATAAACCCAGGCAGATGATGTGTAGGCAAAACGAAGCAAGTGTTTAACAAAATCATTACACGATCAGATGTTCTAGAAAAGTCATTAGTGGCAATATAAAGAGGAAGATCTGGAGTGAAAGGTCTAGAGGCACAGAGACCAGTTTGGAGGCTACCAGGATGGTCTAATGATGGAAAGATTACTAAGGCTCTGATGTAAGGAAGTGGAGAGGGACAGGAAAGGACAGATCAAAGATAAAGCTTACTGACAAACTAGACATGGGGTAATAGGAAAAAGGAAGACGTGAGACTAATTTCAGGGTTTCCTGCTTAGATACAAGACATACAACAATGTTACTAAGAATAATTTAGAAAAAATAGATCTCTAGGGATAATAAGAAGTGGGTTCAGCCACACTGCCCTGAAGGGGCCTTTTAGCTGTCTACAAATAAATACCAACAGGAAAATAGTATGCAGAGTTCAAGAGAGGCTGGAATTCCAACAAATTATCATAGCATTGGTGACATTATTGAATACTTTCATTTACAAGACCAGTGGATTCCGAAAAGTTTTAAGAAATAGAATCATCCCTTTAAATGAAACGAGGTAAAACTGAAACTATCTGGGATAAAAGTGAGAAGCAGAGCTACTGGAGGAGAAAATCTGTTGGGATGGCCAGTCATTTGGCTGGTGGCTTCTGACTTTATGACTAAAAGTAGAGGAAGAGTCATAGCCAGATGGACTGCATCGTTAGGGTACCAAAAAAAAAAAAAAAAAGTGCACACTAAGAGGGTGACCTTTTTAGTTATTTTTGTTGTGTGATCCAAGCATCAGGTTTTATAAGCTCAATCACCAAACAGCATTTTATTAACAGTAGCAGCAAACTGATGGCAATAAATGCAGGCTATCAAGTAATATGTTGCCTCCAGTCACAAAGCCATCTATATTTGAATGTGCTCCTTCCTAAGAACCACAACAAAAAGCAATCTTTTTAGTTCCTTTTACATATGAACTTTATAATGTATGGTACTTTTGTACAAGGCCAGATCTTTTAATGTGCCCTTTAAAAAAAAAGCATGAAATTTAAAAGTCTAACTCTTGACAGTCAGTAAAGCAGATGCTGAGGAAGTGGAGGGAAAGGTAGGGAAGGGGGGGTATCATAAGACACACATGTAGTACCAAAGATAAGAAGTTAAAATCAGGGGTGCTTGGGTGGCTCAGTGGGTTAAAGCCTCTGCCTTCAGCTTGGGTCATGATCCCAGGCTCCTGGGATAGAGCCCTGTATCGGGCTCTCTGCTTAGCAGGGAGCCTGCTTCCTCCTCTCTCTCTGCCTGGCTCTCTGCCTACTTGTGATCTCTGTCAAATAAATAAATAAATTTTAAAAAAAAGTTAAAATCAATTTAGAATCTAAGAATATCAGAATTTTGAAGCAAAATGGGACTACACAGACCATGGGCTCCAAATCCTATCATTCAATGATAAACTAAGATCCAAGAGAAGCTAAGGAATTAACTACTAGTCATCCTATTCTGCTCAACTGGACTCCATGCTGCTACCCAAACAGGTGACCCAACTCCCCTCAACCCCATGTCTCTTAAGTCCAATGTCCAGCTGTCTGACTACACCCATGTTCACAGCTCTGACTCGAGCCCTGCACCAAGGCTTCACCTTCCCAAGGAAGAACACAAGTGCCTGATCCTCCATTTCAACCACCAGCACCTTTCGGGTCCTCTCTTACTGAGCTTATGTCCACATTTTAGTTATTCGTATATTCATCTCATTCCCTTTTCTACAATATAAGGTCCTTGAGGGCAGGAACTAGCATAAACATTTCTGAGTTAACACCCAGCTTGGGTGGGAGCCTTAAAGCAGTAGTAAAAACTAGGTTTTTAGGGAACTGAATGAGAGAAGAAGCTGGGCCACAGCCTACTTTCCTGACTCCCCATTCTAAGTTCTTCCCACTACAACAGCTATGCTATTTCTAGATTCTGCAAACATCACCTCCTCTGCAGGGCGATGTTTTCTTGAAGGTTACAATTTAAGCCATTCACTGATAAATTCTGTCCATTTAATAAACAACCTTTGCGATGATACTGTCAATGTATCTAAGATGAGAAGAGCAGGTATCTTATCAGTGTAACACACCCATCTGAGCACCCCTACCACACTTAGCTCAACAGAGTAAAAGCATGACATCCAAAAAAAAAAAAAAAAAAAAATCACTATTCTTCATCACTTACTTCCCCAAATAAGCAGGCTATACCATAATAATTCTATTTTGTCAAGTATTAAATAAGCTAGGCTCTTCACAGATTTGTTTTCCCTGTCAGACCAGATATAATATACATTGAAACTCAGCCCACACACCCATTATGTCAAAGAACTCGTCTAGAGCATTATGCAGCACCGGGAACTTGTCTCTGTGCTCTTCTAGCAGCCATATTAAACACCGCGCTTCCTTCAGTGATGTTGGCTCACAGAAGTAATCAAGTTGCTTTCCTTCTATAGAGGCTAGTTTATGACCATATTTCTCATTCCAGAGAAAAGTCATGATGCTAAAATCAAGCTCCTTAAGAGATGCTCCATAACGAGAAAAAAAAGGTCCTGTGGCATCTAAACCTGTAATAAAAACAAAACCCAAATCAGAAAAAGGAAAAATCATTTACCATAAAATCCCATTCAATCTTACATCTCTGAAAGCAGTTCGGTTACAGCTTGCCGAGATTTTCAGTGAAAACACACGCCTGAATACAAACTTGTTCAAGCTACTTTGCACTCTAGGAATACCACTTAACACCGACACGCTAATTACAATAGTTCTTATCTATTAGTTGAATAAGGTGGGCCAAAGCCTTCTTACATACTTGTTCATATATTACTGGCTTCTATGGTCATTTTTATTAGACTTCAGCAATGAAAACAAGGCATTAAATTCCTGTAAAATTATTACAACTTTTTTACTAATTCAAAATGATTTTTATCCTAATTAGTACAAACTAGCAAGATTTTAGTTCTTTTCTACATATATTCTATAGTAACAATAAAATGGAAATTCTTCGCAAGTGCCTTTAAAACAGGAAAGGGGTAAACAAACCACCCTTCCAACACCTCCTTTAATGGCTCCTTACCCTCCTCCAAAAATCAGGATGGTCACTATTCCCACTTTTATTCCACCTTCTAACAATCAGAAAAAGAAACGGCTGCAACCTCATACCACTGTTCCGAAGGGATGATGAGCCCCTACCCTTACTAACACAGCCTCCAAAAGGCAAAGACCAGTTCTGGTCTATCTTCCCACCAATCTCAAATACAGCACAACTTGCCTCTTATGTCAGCCACAGTTTCTCAGCATATGAAGCGGACTGCTGAGTCAGAGTTACCCTGGATGGGTTTCCTCCAAATGAAACAGTTACCTTACAGACGTCATGCTGCATGAAAACATGTGCTCACTGAAGGGAAGGCAAGAGGTCACGTCTACAATTAAAATGTTACTCTCCCCACACCTCACATATAAACCGACCTCTCATGTTAAACAAACACATGACGTGACCCTACAGTATATATTTTTTGTTGAGAAGGAAATAAAATTCCAGGAACTGGAAATTACTTGCCTTTAATAAATAAATATGAGCTTTACATCAAGGATATAGTATAACCTTACCACTCAACATGGTTGAAGTCATTTTAGAGCTTTTTAAAATAAAAACTGCATTAAAATAATGTGTATATACTTATTAAAATGCCTTTAATTTTCAGAATAAATGTGAATTATATCAAAAGGACACATTAACATTTCCGTCAGTGAGCTAGAAGGCTCAAATGCTACCATACACTGGAAGAACAGTGGCAGGCACTCTTGTCTGGGTAAGCATAAGCAGAAAGCATCCTTCTCCTTAATCTATCTTCCAAAGCAGAATAAAGTGAAAAGTAACATTATAATTTACTTATTTGATTGTTAACAGATGCAAATGACAACCTTATCACTTACAAGTAACATTCTGGGACCAGAAACCGATGCAGACCTATGCTCAAAGCAGCAACACTTAGCTATCAACTATGCCGAGCTTCCCGCTATCTTACTTTGTTTCTACGGACAGAAACTTATCAATATAGTCTCTGAAACTCTAGAATTCTAAGGGCTCCACGTCCCTAAAACTTCCAGCAGATGGGGGTGACCGCAGAGGCCTGGCATCTCACTCTTTGGGCTCTGCTCCTCTGCGGCTCCCGCTGGCCTTGGGTCCAACAGCTGCCAAACGAATCACCTACTCTCTGAGGCCAGTTACCACCTAAGTCACCGAGACAAACGGTGCCCTGGTAGGTACCCAGAGAAATCTCAAGCTAGCGCTCGGCCGCGACTCTAGCTGCAGCTGCTTTCTGCGGTCCCCGCGTGGCCCTGGGCAAAGGGCCTGCTTGGGGGGAGAGGAGGGTCTTCCTCCACCAAATCAGGAAAATCAGGAACAGCAGCAGAGTTTTAAAATCCTGTGATCCAACCTCGGAGTATTTTTCTCACAATCCTTAGATACAGATTTGCTTTCAGTGATCCTAAGCATTTAGTTCCACCCACTCTTCCTCTTAAGTTTTCTCGGGAATCGGACTAGAAGTGATGATCGCAGAGGGCACTCAGTCACCTCCAGGGGGCGCTACTGCCCCCCCCAGCCCCGGGGCCATAACCTGCCTAACACTGACTTCGTTTAAACATTTACAAATACTTTAGCAAAATACAGGACTGGATCTTCTGACTAAACTTTATTGTGTTTACACCTTTTCAAAGTGTACTGTAACCTATCGATAAAATAACCTAAACTGAGTTGGAAGGGAATAATATTTTTAACCATAAAAATTTGTAGTCCTACATTTTAAAAAAATCATAAATGATGACAGAAAATGAAAAAGGGATTAGAGGCCGATGTCCACCCCTCCTACTAAGCAGCAGCTCTAGAGCTCAGTGGCATACCAAAGCTGTTAAGTTTCTGGATCCAAGCGGCTAATTTTGGCTCCACTTCTTTAAGCTCGCTCAAAACATGCAGAAATATCCTGGTCTTTACTCTATTCTTTTCTTGAATCAAGTGACGAATGACATAGTCCACTGCTTCATTTAGAAAATTTCTGCTAGAAAAACAAGTTGTATAGTCTTCTGTGCTTAAAACCTTCCAAGAAAGCAATTCTTTGAGAAGCTTGGAAGTGTTCAGAACACCAGATTTTATCTTGTCAGCATATTGCTTTATGCACTGCAGAATTCTGTCATCAAGGAACTGGCAATTCTGAACGTTGTCTGCGGTTTCTAAGGATAAATAAAAGTGTGTTAAAGTGAGCAACAGACCAATCTGCAAAGATATAAACTGAGAAGAGAAATAATATAGCACTACATAATAATATAAAATATGCTTCAGAGGGATTCTTCATGTTTTAAATAAACTCAAGAAATTTTAAATTTGGAATATACTTAATAATACCTTTGAAAACATATGAAAGTTCACATTAAATCAAACATATCAAAAGTACCTTATCTCCTTCACTGTACAGCATTCATGTAACATCTAAAAACTTAGTTCTTTTAAAATAAGGTTCAATAATCCTAACCCAGGCTCATCACTACCTATACTTTATATTTAGTAACTATGTCTAATCATTAACAATGCAAAGGGTTGGGGAGCCTGGTGGCTCTGTCTTTAAGCGTCTGTCTTCCGCTCAGGTCATGATTGTGGGGTCCTGGGATCGAGTCCCACATCCAGCTCCCTGCTTGGCGGGAAGCCTGCTCCTCTCTCTCCCACTCCCCCTGCTTGTGTTCCCTCTCTCACTGTGTCTCTGTCAAATAAATAAATAAAATCTTTAAAAAAAAAAAAAACAAAAAGACTGCAAAAGGATTTTTTCTAGAGTTGAAAGGGTCATTTATTTATGAATTCAATTAGTATTTGGTAGTTATTGTTAATGTTATTCATCTTACTGTTGGATCCTAAACCATAGGTCCCCATGGAGATGTTAACTCCAGGCTGGAAAATCTCTCAGAAGTTCATCTTCCCAACCCATGCATCTCCCTAATGGATTGCCATTTAGCCTCTTGAAGCATCCAAAATTAAAAAAAAACAAACATTCACTGGAGACTTCTATAGTAGGAAGGATAATTTTGACTGATTTGTGAAACATTAATGGAATACTAAATAAAAAGTAAAAACAAGAGGAAGTGTTTCATTTTGGTAACAGTCGTCACAGAAAATGAGAAAGAATAACTTCAACTGAAAACTGAAAGTACTCCTGGGGATGTAATGTCCAGCACGGTGACTACAGTTAATACTACTATATTGTGGGGCACCTGGGTGGCTCAGTTGGTTGGTTAAGGGTCTGACTCTTGATCTCAGCTCAGGTCTTGATCTCAGGGTCATGAGTTCAAGTCCTGCACTGGGCCCCACGCTAGGTGTGGAGTCTACTTAAAAATAATAAATAATAATACTGTACTGCATATTTCAAAGCAGCTTGAAGAGTGGATCTTGAAAGTTCCTGTCATAAGAAAACAAATTCTGTAACTATGCATTGTGATGGATGTTAACTGGACTTACTATGGTGCTCATTTTGCGATATATACGAATATACAATATATATATCATGTTGTACACCTTAAACTCATGTAATATTATGTCCTTTATTCCTCAACTTAAAAAAAAAAAACAAACTCTTAATTAAGAAAAAAAACCTGGAAGTAAATATGCTCACAGGAACAGTATAATCACATTCCCATGGTTATCAGGGAATAATAACGAGACAAACATAAAACAGAAGGCAGGGTTAGGTAATCCCTACAGCATCTTTTATGAACTGCTTCTTTATTTGAACTCAGCATTATTTCAGATAATTAATAGCTAATTCATGTTCAGTGTTTTAGAATCTAACTCTGCACAGTGGAATTTACAGAACACTATCAAACATGCAATATGCACGTCAGCTATTATTCCATCTTCACTGCGGTGATGAAGAAGCGGACAAAGATCTTGCCCCACGTTAGCTTATGCTATTCCTGTGTCTGGGGATTTAGAATCCCTGTGTATGTCCTGCTTCCAAATACAGTGCTCTTTACACCAACCTCTCCCCATCTCAGAGCAACACAAGAAAGTAGCGGTACTAAAATACAAATTGAAATCTAAATTTCAATTCAGTAACAATTAATATAATCCCAAATAAGATGGATATTTGTGTTTATACTTTTAAGCAAGAGGATATTACTTTCATCATGCCTCTGACTTTAGCATACCTTTCTGCTCTTCAGTTTTGGGGGGATTACTCTCTCTTAAGTCCTCTTCCATTCTTTCTTGTGCTAGTTTTTTTGCTTCTTTTTTTTGGATCTTTCTCTTCAATTTTTTGTCTTCTTTCAGTCTTAGCTTCTCTAGGCTGTTAAGAATTTACAATTAGTGATAATTCGCCTTTGTTATAAACTCAGTCAACTATCTGCCTATTACAGAAACCATCCTCCAAGTAGTAAGCTCAAAGTTTCCCTTTTAATACAGAACTTGGCCTGCATCTTCTCCTTAATATAAAAAATTTGTTGACACATGTTCAATTAAAATTAGCGTACTTATTTCATGAAAGCAAGAACTCAGTGACTGAGTAACTCATAATTAAGGGTGGCATGCAAACATTGTACAAATGTTATTTCCATGTATGTAAGTTATTGCTTAGGGTATATAAAAATAGTATAAATTATCCTGCAAGATAATACATATGTACACTCATTTCAAAGAAAGATCACACAGTAAAATATTATTTTCACATTGCAATAATGGCCCACAACACTGGAATTTGCTTGATTTGATTTACAATGAATTCCCTTCAACAAATAATTCCATTCATCTTTTCTTTTGTTTTTTTCTTGGTCACAAAGACAAAAAAAATCACTTCTTGGAATGGAGGACAAGAAGCAAGACCAAAAAGAAGGAGGAAAAAAAAAAAAGGACTGGAATTATTTGATCTAAACAATAATATATACAAGTGAATATTTTTTACAGTATATTGAGTTTTTCAGGATGAGAAATAGTCATTGGTTCAAAAATGTTCTCTGAAGAGAGATAAAAAAGAAAAATGCTTTTGGAATTAAAGTTTAAACAACTGAGAGCTAATTGTATTAATTTTATCTAAATGCCAAAGCTATTAATCAACATGTCATTTCACAGCATCAAATGTCATAATTTTACTTAAAAATTCAACTACCAAATAATACTTATTCAAGCTTTAAGTATTTAACCAGAGGCTTATTATCTTTAAGTTTTAAATATCCATAAAATTCATTTAAACACCACTTATTTGAATAAGTATATACAGCCAATTTTTAAAAATAATATAATTTAGAAATCTGCATTTATAGAAGTATATTCTAATAGACATGATTAAACTACTGATTGATAGTTAAAAATCTTACCTAGAACATTTCTGCTTCAGAATAGGTCTTGGAGGAACCTTTTCCTTTATGACCTTGTGTTCAAACTTTAAACAAAACAAAGACATCCAAAATTTGTCTCATACTCTCATGACGTAAAGCACAAAACCATAAATAACAGTTCAGAAGCACACACAGCCAATGTTCAATTTGATATAGAACAGGGATGATGTTCTGACCCAGAAAAAAGCCCAGAAAAGTTTAGCAAAACAATTTACTGAAAAGAGGAACAAAAGAGTAAACATACTTTAGGAAGCTCAAAAAAATATATATATATTAAGAGTAACCAGATCAAATAAACTACAAAGACTTTTAGAACAACCCACTCTTAGTACTCCCATATAGTGAAGTGAAAGGTAATCCTTCAAAACATCCTCTCCCCTCCCTAAGAACTCCACCCTCATTAATACCCCAAAATTTACTGGGGGTTAAGAAAACAAGATTATCAAAAAGAACAAAAACCATGAAACTAAAATGTAAAAGGTATCCTCTTTTAGGAAATGAAAGAATGTGAGAATCCTTCATTGCAGAGATACATTCTGACATCCTAGTATTTCTTATATTTTCTTAAATTAAGGAACATTTCTCCTAGATAACACAAGATCCAAATTGTACAATTACCCAAATTTAAATATTTTAAAGTTATAAACATTTTGGTTAACAATTTGGTAATATTTTCCTCTATTAGATTACTTACTTCACATTTCACTTGACCACCACTGCTGAAAATGATTATCTTAGAAATGATTCCTTCACAGTCAGGGGTAAGACAAATTCCTTGTAGAAAATCCTATTTGATTAAAAAAAACAAGTGCTATATCTCAGAATAAATTTATATATGTACACAATTTTAACCATCAGGAACAGTCAAGATATGTCTAAAACCTCCTTTAGGAAGCACTGAAAGTCCCTGCTCCTTGTCTTCTGACTTTCAAAGCCTCCCTTGGAGAAGGAATATACTCCCAGCTATAGGACTGACCACGTGACTTGCTTTGGCCATTGTAGAGTGAACTGACATAATGTACCCTACATCCACGCAAAAGCTTTAAGAAACAATGAACGGACTGGCCATTGCTCTTTACCCTCTTCTACAGGAACATGTTCTGGTCACTCGTCAACCTCAATTCAGAAACAAAGAACACAGCTACACAGACAAGAGCTGCTGGCCCACAGCTGCAGAACTCTAGGACAATTAATGTAATCAAGAGATGACCTTTTCTTATTATAAATCAAGATATACTTAGGCTATGCATTACTTCAGTATATCCTAGTGCAAGGTGACTAATTTACAGGGGCTATTTTAACTCACAGGAAAGAGCACTAAGGGTGCATGTATAACTAGAGACCTTGAATTAATGTCAAAGACACGGCAAAAGTGACTCAATGGCAACAATTATTTGGTTATATCATTGTATCTTTAGTTAACTATGTGAAAATGCATAAAATGTGAGAATTTATTTCTACCAAAGTTGAATAATTCCTCTTGCTAAGAAACACCTAGCACAAGCACCTCACTCTTCTCTCCAACAAGAAAAGGGCTTATATGAAGCTAAGCAGTGTAGAAAATGGTCTTCTTAACTAATGATATACTACATGCTGGCTAATCGAACATAATAATAAAAATAAATAAATAAATAAATAAATAACATTAAAAAAAGAAAATAGTTTTCTTTTTTAAAGTCCATAGCTTTGGGGCGCCTGGGTGGCTCAGTGGGTTAAGCCGCTGCCTTCGGCTCAGGTCATGATCTCAGGGTCCTGGGATCGAGCCCCGCATCGGGCTCTTTGCTCAGCAGGGAGCCTGCTTCCTCCTCTCTCTCTACCTGCCTCTCTGCCTGCTTGTGATCTCTCTCTGTCAAATAAATAAATAAAATCTTTAAAAAATAAATAAATAAATAAAGTCCATAGCTTATAGGAATCAGAAACAAATGAATGCAAATAAGATTACAAAATTGTGCCTTCTCTCAAAGGATATCTAGCTAATGGTAATCAACATTATCTTGCTAATTAAGAAAATGAATAGTGCCACAATGAATAGTGGCAGGGCCAAATTTATTTCTTAGTACAAAGTATATCATCAAATTTGGTAGAAAGTGAAAAATGTGAGACCCTAATGCTACATCAGAATACTAACATCAGACATTTAAACTTTTATTTTTGGTAAGATTCCCCATATAAAAACTGGTTAAATATTTTATTAAAGGCCTCTATGGTTATTGCCCTTATCTCAATATAAAATAAATACAAAAACTGATTTTGTACTTTTTCATTAAAGTTTTAATTTAAAACTTTTTAGTTATGGTTAGAATGCACAGAAAAGAATTGATATTCACTAAAAACGTTTCCTAAGAATCTCAGGGGAAAAAATTAACATAAATTAAGCATACTACAAAATCCAAACTGTGAACTTACCTTGTCAATTTTATCATTAAAAGTTGTTGTTTTCAACTTCTTCCAACAGTTCATGTGAAATTCTATCTTACAGTATTGGCAGCAGCTAATTCGTATAAAACCCTAGAGGTTTAAAACAGTGATTAACACAATTTAAAGATGCCAATACATACACACTCTCTTTCACAATCACAACACAGATATTAAGCAAAGAGAGAGCTGTCTGCATTCACCTGGCAAAGGTAACCAGATATCACATTCTCTCCTGGGGAAATAAAATCCTTCTATACTCCTAAATCCCTAGTGCTAGAGACAGAGAACTTGACTGATATATTCCTATCCATAGCATACATCATCCTTTACAGTATCAAATGATTTACAAACATTATTCATCTGATCTACTAACCAGGGAGAGTAGGCAGTTCCTATCTTCTTGAATAAAGTAAGGCCCAGGAACTCAGTTAAGTGCCAGACCTGGGTTCAGACTTAGGTTTCTAGGAGATAATTCAGTGGTCACAAAAGCCTTTAGATTTCCTAGACTCAAATTTTACAAGAAATTAAAATTGCAACCAATCACAAGTAACAGTCTCGGGGTGCCTGGATGGCTCAAGTGGGTTAAGCCTCTGCCTTCAGCTCAAGTCATCATCTCAGGGTCCTGGGACCAAGCCCCACATGAGGCTCAAGGCCCACATTAGGCTCTTTGCTCAGCAGGGAGCCTGCTTCCCCCCCCACTCTCTGCCTGCCGCTTTGCCTACTTGTGATCTCTCTCTGTGTGTCAAATAAATAAATAAAATCTTAAAAAAAAGAGAGGAGTAACAATCTCATTTTCTTTCCTGTGCTCTTAAGAAATAGGCAAGTTATATGAACAGTGGCTAGAAAGGGGAAATAGAATTAGCTAGCCTGCCTTCTTAGGTTACAATCCCTGCACTCAGTGTTTATTTAGTGGCCCTGGGTCCCCAAATGAGATGATGCAGACCTACAGAAGTCCAGAGGATAGGGCAGAAGAGAGGACATGAAACTGCCAACAACAGAAAACTTGGATACCTCCAATTACAGAATTTGTTCTGAATCCATTTTAAGGCACAATTCTGCAAGTTACTGTCCTACTGTACATTCATTATGTACCTTGAAGTCTGGATCAGTTATATATATCTGGATTTTGGAATATCCACGGCACTTCTGATAGCAACAAATGGCATCTGGCACTGGAGGGAACCTGCATTCTTCAATGAATTTCTCTAACAGCATCTAAAACAAAAATAAACAAAAACAATATTATAACACTCATTTGTCAATAAAAGTGCTTATGATTTCAATAACTTCTTGCCATCAAAATACTTTCAGGGCACCTGGGTGGCTCAGTGGGTTAAGCCTCTGCCTTCAGCTCAGGTCATGATCTCAGGGTCCTGGGATCGAGCCCCCCATCGGGCTCTCTGCTGAGTGGGGAGCCTGCTTCCCCCTCTCTCTCTCTGCCTGCCTCTCTGTCTACTTGTGATCTCTCTCTGTCAAATAAATAAATAAAATCTTTTAAAAAATAAATAAATAAATAAATAAAATTTTAAAAAAATACTTTCAGCATATGAATGACAAAATGTTTTTTAGAGAAGAAAAAAACTACATATAACTTTTAAAGTTTTTCTTTTTGAAGATTTTATTTATTTATTTATTTGAGAGAGTGACAGAGATAGTGAGAGAGCACATGCCAGAAGGAGAGGGAGAAGCAGACTCCCCGCTGAGCAGGAAACCTGATGCAGGGCTCTATCCCAGGACCCTGGGATCTGGACCTGAGCCAAAGGCAGTTGCTCAACTGACTGAGCCACCCAGGCGCCCCTTAGCTTTTCTTTTTAGAAGGAGGTTGATACATGGGGCACCTGAGTGGTTCAGCTGGTTAAGTGCCTGACTCTTGATTTTGGCTCAGATCATGATCTCAGGGTTGTGAGATCAAGCCCTGCATCAGGCTCAGTGCTGTCTCTCCAGTGCTGGCTTTTTGTTCTCAAGAGTTCCTCTGTCTCCACCCACCCCAATCTACTGTAAAGAGAACATCCAGTGATTTTTTTATTTTAACAGTTTTGTTGAAATATAATTCACATATCACACAATCTACACATTTAAAATGTATATAGTTCAGTGGTTTTCAGTATATCCACAGAGTTGTTCAACCACGGCCTCAGTCTAAATTTAAACGGTTTTATCACCCAGCAAAAAATTCCATCTCCATTAGCAGTCCCTTCTCATTTCCCCCCAATCCCCAAGCCCCTGACAACCACGAATCTACTTTGTCTCTAAATACAGATCTGCCTGTTCTGGAAATTTCAGGTAAATACAATCCTACAATACGTGCCTTTTTGTCTGGCTCCTTTTACTTAGCAGGTTTTCAAGGTTCATCCATGCTGCAGTACTTACCAGTACTTTACTTTTTACGGGCGAATAATATTCAGTTGTACGGATAGGCCACTGTGTGGTTTTATGAATGGCTTATGAATGGTTTTATTTAACTACTCATTGGTTGACAGACACGTGAGCTGTTCCCACCTTTTAATAGTGTTTTAATTTTGAAGTGTTGCTATAAACATTCATGGACACATTTTTGTGAGAACATATATCTTCCTTTCTCTGTATCAATTGTAGGAATGAACTGCTGGGTCATGTGGTAACTCTGTCTTTACTCTATTGAGGAGCTGCCAGACCATTTTACACGTCCACCAGCAATATATGGGGGTTCTGATACAGAGACATATCCAGAGATATGTACCAACACTTCTGACTGCCTTCTGGATTAGCCATCCCAGTATGTGAAGATGTATCTCATTAAGGTTTTAATTTGCATTTCTCTGATAGCTAATGTTGCTCAACATCTTTCACAGGTTTACTGGCTACTTGCAGAAATTCTTGACAGATATAGGTCTATTCAGATCCTTTGGCTACTTTTTCATGTATTTTTTTATTTTTTTAATTCCAATATAATGGCTACTTTTAATTCAATTGTCTAAAACTATCGAGTTTTAAGAGTTGACTCCTGTGGTTATTTTAAAAAGCTTTTGCCAAAAGCAATTTCTGTATACATGCCAGTGTTTCCCACAAGTAAAGGCCTACTCTAGTCAATCCACACACAATTTAGTCTTTCCAGAACTAGCAAAGCATCCTAGGTCTCTGGATATGAGAACAAATTTATATTTTCCAAGTCCTCAAGTGCAATCTTAATAATTATTGTCGCTATGATGAAACAACAATGCTATACCTTTAAGTGTAAGCAGGAAGTCACGCTACTTAATAATGAATGCCCTAATTCAGAATGCCGAGATTCAAGTCCCACCTCCACTACTTCCTAGCTGTTTAACCTTGAGCTCATCACTTAACATCCCTAACATCCTTAATATTCCTCTTCAGTAAAATGAGAATAATCATAGTACTCACCTTGTAGGATTGCTATAAAGACTCACAGGTATGATGAATGGAAGCTGTGAGACTGGCACACAGGAAATATTTAACAAATGTCAGTGATTCTCAATAGTCTTTAAAGGGGAAACACATGTGGGGATGCTGAGGCCAGAGAGGCCCTACCTCTTTGTCTTCTGATACCTGAGTCAATCAGTGCAGATGGGCTTTTTAATTAGTAAGAAGATCTCTGAATAAATAAATCGTTACCTTTATTTTCCCTGGCTGAGTCTCTTCAATAATCACATTACTTGTGGGCCAAGTTAACACTCCAGGAAGACGACAAATCAAGGTTCTTGCTTTCTCAAAATGATTGAGAGCTTCTAGATATCTAAAGTCATAATTATGAAGAAAGAAGGTATTAAACCTGTGACAAGAATTTTCATTCCCCACAATAAAAGTTACAGAATTTCAAGTCTACTAATAAGAATACATTTGATAAATCACTGTTCAGAAATATTCAATGGAACCTATATTTTCTTTAAAAAAACAAAGGCATGTTGACTCACTATACTGTACACCTGAATATAACATTGTATATTAACTAACTAGAATTAAAATAAACACTAAAAAAAAAAGGCATTTATTCATTGTTTGCTATATAAGTAACATAAATTAAACAACAAATCTGCCTGGACACTGACATTATTATGGTAGGTGCATACTAGTCCTTTTAAGTTTGTAATTTATTGGGAAACCTGGGTGGCTCAGTTGGTTAAGCATCTGCTTTCAACTCAGGTCATGATCCTAGGGTCCTGGGATTGAACCCCACGTTGAGTTCCTAGCTCAGTGGGGAGCCTGCTTTTTCCTCTCCCTCTGCAGCTTCCCCTTGCTTGTGCTCGCACTCTCTCTCATTCTGTCAAATAAATAAAATCTTAAAAAAAAAAAGTTTACAAAAACTAAAACAGAAAATTGAGTGATGTGGTTGTTCGATTTTTATTTGTTTCATTTACTAAGCTAATTAGATTCCTATAGAGAAATGACAACCCTTCACATCAACTAATTAATCATAAATAAATTCTTTTTTTTTAACTCAACTCTATTAGGATATCTATTTAGTAAAAACCACTCTTCTGAAAAAAATCTAAAGGGATTGTATATGCTGGACATATTTTTTCAGCCATAAAGAATAAAGTATTTTAATAAAACAAATGTGTATGCAAATTGTTTTAACTACATGAAATGTTTTAGTTCTGATTCATGTTTTTAAAAAAATGTCAATAGATTCCCATAGTCCATTCAACAAAAGAACATTAACACATTAGATTATAAAGTTAACCAAGTCCTTATTATTCTCTCAGACTAGAGAAGAAGAGAAGAAAGGTTTCCTGCTTTCTTCAATCTTGAAATGACTTTCCAATTTAAGAACTTTTTTTGCCTATGGGTAAGAAAAATTCACCTGCAGAAAAGCTAGACCATCAATCATAAGACAGGTAACAGCAGGACTTTACCAGAAACTGCACATTACAACAGCAAAAACCAACGTATTCGACACTGAACCCCAATCTTATTTCGAAATTAAAATGTAAATGCTTTTCAAAATGGCAAAGACTTCTTCATAATTCCCATGATGTTACACACTTATGATATATTCCTAGATCTTAGGAATAATTACATGTGACTACTGCATTAAAACCATGTATCTTAAATAAGTTATGCCAAACTTTGAAATTAATTTCATTTGCTGTTACTATACAGATGATTGCAAATCCTCACTACCTCTCCCTCTGCCTGATTCATGTATAATTCAGTCTGGTCACACAGCAACTTCAGGAAGTAAAAGAACTTTCTTTAATCTCTAAAAAAAAAATCTATAAAGGAAGTTCTAGGCACATTCCAAGACTGGGTTCCCAAGAGTCCCAGGAGTCTGATAAAATTTCCTTTAGGAGCACCTGGCTGTTTCAGTCAGAAAAGCATGTAACTCTTGATCTCAGGGTTGTGAGTTTGAGCCCCAGGTTGAGTGTAGAGATTATTTAAAAACAAAAATCTTTTAAAAAATTTCCCTAAAAGGACAGATGAAAATTCAAGATTAAAAGCTATGAATGATATTCAATCAGTCAACAATTACTTCTGTATAAAGTAATCTAACACACCTACCAGGACACTGGGTGTTAAGTGCCGAAACAGGGAGATTCTTGGTTTTCTTTTTGTTATCGTTGTTACAGTTAATGATAGTTTCATCGTGCCAAAAATACTGAACGCTTCACAAATCTGTGTGTCATCCTTGCACAGGGGCCATGCTAATCTGTTATTATTCCAATTTTAGTCTATGTGCTGCCCAAGCAAGCAGTGAACAGGGGAGTTTTTTTTTAAAGCTCAATGCATAATCGTATCCCCAAAGGGTCATATAGCAATTTGGGAAGATAAGACATGAAACATTTGCAGAACAACTACATACTAAACTTTGAGTAGGGATTCCAACTATAGAAGAATTTCTGAGAAGAGATTTTTATTTCTAACTCATTATGTCTTTGAACAGGTATCTATCTGTTCAAAGACACCATCTTCATACAGGTTTTTGGGAGAAACAGGTATTTTGGTAACCAAAAAATTATACAATCAGACTTGTAAAGCATTAGTTTATATCAATTCAGTCACTATTTATAAATGACATATACTAACAGAAAAAATACAAAATCCTTTGTGTCAAATCGTCTTGTTCCTGACTTTCTTAGAAGATTCAAAATAAGGAAGCACTAGGAGCTGAACTGATTGGCCATACTTCAATAATTAGTATTGATGTAGAAATGCTGGTCCTCTAAGCAAACATGATGATAATAGTTTGCCACAGAGAAGATAACAATATAATTCCAGAAAAGGGACCTCCACATTAGACTTCAACTGAGTTATCCACCCTGAGTGTAAAAGAGCATAGTTTCTACTAACCTGTTCTTTTTCAAATATACTTTTCCAATTCCACAGTAGGCCAAGCAATCAAGTCCCTCATTGGGATAATGTTCAATCATCCTCTTAAACTGGTTTTCAGCTTCAGATAATTCCTTCAGTAGCAATAAAAATAACGATCACTTAAACTACAAAAGAGACACTGGAACAGATTTTATCTAAAGGTTGATTCTTTTCGTGTAATATTACAGATAACTATGTATTCAAAAATTTCTATGGCAAAATTAAACCTTCTGCATTATTTTCTTTATTTTCTTAGCAAATATACAAATTTTGACCACAGGATATACAGAGACACAACCAGAATGATCTGGCTTAAGAATCAAAAATTGGTGTGGAACACACCAGACAACAAGCCAAATGAACATTTACTAACACACAGAAAGGGCCTGGTTTGTGCTGGCTAACACTAAAAAGTGTGAATTCATAGTAAAAAGACTGACTAGATGCAAACACACCATGACATATATCCTCGCAAGTGCTGCTCCCTGGGATATAGGCACTCCAATAATGCTACCCACAATGTTTTGTGGCATAAGAAAGATAAATGACCTATTTTTTAAAAAAGTGCTTTAGCAAAAACTTTACAAAACTTAGAGTACATTCTTCTGAATATTGTCAATAGTAGAAACTTCTTTCTATTGCTTTGAATGAATTCTGTTTTGGAAAAGTCCAGAAGAAATAGCTCAAGGCAGTCCTGGTAACCCCATGTGGGTGAAAAAGGAAGTGTCACTACAAAATGAGAGTTTATAAGAATTGTTGAGGTCAGTTCTAAAGGAGGCATTCCAAAAATGTTTTAAGTAACAGCTGTGCTGGAGCAAATACATTGCTTACTTTGGGGGCATTCTTTTAAATGTCCAAGTTCTATCATACCTGTTCTGTTGTTTTAATCAGTCTCACTATTTCAAAGTAAATCACAAATGTAGTGAACTATTTCTTCAATTTTGATATTATTAACATTATTAAGATATTTATTATCACACTGCCACAATAGGAGAATTGGAGATCATGAAGTCCTGTCTCCAACAATCTATTAGAAAGAATCTATGAGAAAACAGAATTAGGCCTTAATGGAAGACATTCAACTACCACATCAAGAACAAGGAAAGAAGCATGTAAGAAGGAGAATAAACCTTAGACACTGTAAACCACTTTCAGAATGGAACCTAAAAGATGGCCTCATTCTTATTAGGTAGCAGTTAGGGTTAAGCCTTCATTTAGCCAAGGAAGCTTGGAGGCCAAGTTCGCAGAAAGGATGTATTATACCTAAGGTAATTCTAGAGCAGTTTTAACTTTTACTGAAAACTAAAAACCACAGAAAACGAGTTATAGCTGACAGTGGAACAATGCAGGGGGTAGGGGTGCCTCATGCAATGGAAAATACAGGTATAACTTTTGATTCCCCCCAAATTTTACTACTAATAGCCTACTTGACTAGAAGCCTTATTAATAATATAAAGATTAACACAATTTATATGCATATTATATACTGTAACCTTTTAATATAGGAAGAGAAAAGAAAATCATAAGAAAGAGCAAATACATTCATGGTACTCTACTATGTATTTTTTTTTAATCCATCTGTAAGTAAACCCATGCAGTTCAAACCAGTGTTGTTCAAGGGTCAGCTGTATAATGCTGTGCCGTGCAGATAAGCACACCGTCCAGGAGAGCACTGAAGGACCATGAGTATGCTCACACCTATTCACTGATTGTACATGGTTCCGGAAGGCTGCACTCCAGAAGATAAATACGCAAATACTACCACCCAGAACTAAGAGATCTTCACACAAAGTTGAACACTCCTTACTTAATTTCCCCAGGCTCATTCCTTCCTTCCATCACTAAATGTAACCATTATCTTAAACTAGGCTAGCCCGTGTTTTTTTTCACCTTTACAAGAGGCAGAGATAGTTATAAACAATATATGCTTTTTTTCCCATATGTTTTCCAAATTGTACGTAAGTGGTTATCACGATGTTTGTTATGTTCTCCAACTTGTCTCTCACTCAGTGTGTTCTCTTAAATCTGTGATGATACAGATTTACTTTTTATAAAAGTAAAAAAACTCCTACTGGTTGTCTGGTATAGCTTTTTTCTAATTGGATCATATTTTTTCTTCAATAAAAACAACACAGGGACGCCTGGGTGGCTCAGTTGGTTAAGCAGCTGACTTTGGCCCAGGTCATGATCCCAGCGTCCTGGGATTTAGTCCCACATTGGGCTCCTTGCTCGGCGGGGAGCCCGCTTCTCCCTCTGCCTCTGCCTGCCATTCTGTCTGCCTGTGCTCACGCTCTCTCTTTGACAAATAAAAAAAACAAAACAAAACAAAAAAAAACAACACAAATTAAACAGGTATTTCAGAAGAAATTATCAGAAAAAAAATAAGCCAAAGAGGCAAAACTGTTTTTTACATTATCTTCTAAAATTAATGGCATATTTTTACTATTATCTCTGTTATAAATCTTACCTCAGGCTGTCCTATTCCAAGGAGAGAAACAGCAAGTCCGTAGACTACTAAGACATAGTTAATCATGGCCAGGTTCAACTGCTGTCAATAAAAACGCTCCAGTTAAAAATCTGAACATAATTTTGCCCAACCTGCATCAAACCAACCTGTTAGCCACAACAGAGAAACAAAACGGGTATGAAATCTCTCTAATCACTATAACCAGGACAAAGGCCAAACAAAATTAGAAAATATATTTTATAAAGATATGCAGTTATACTAAAATCAAGTATTTAAAACACAGAACCACTGTCTCAGAGTTCCTTGAAGGGGTGGTTCAGAGCAAACTAGAATAACTGAGTCGCCATATTCTTTTGCACATGAGTGGGTACTATGACAGATTAAGACATTTGCTTACAATCCTGCATGAATTATTTACCTAGCTAATTCTTTCTAAATGAAAAGATGTGATTAATGCAAGTCCGAAACCTTGGTCCAGTACTTCTATAGAAGCTGTCAAACATTCTAATGAACACCAAGTAGAGAGCAAGGAGAGAGTCTAACCCTGGTCGTATATTGAGTGCAACCACAAAGACTGAATCACAGCGTTAGCTGCTTCTCACCACCCGGAGCAGATTCCGCTAATCTCAGGTAGGTCTAAGGTACGTTAACATAATGAAGTTAAAGCCGTGGTTCTCTTCTGCATTCACCTGAAATGCACCTGCATTGAGATACAAAGTGAAAGACTACAATTTTACCTTTATTTTTTGAGGATCTAAACCGTTGAGCAACTCCGTGAAGGCCTGTGCAGCACTGCGGCAACGCTGCTCCAACAAAGCCGTGTAACCATCCTGGATTAAGCTTCTCAGCATTTTCATTATATTAGCAAAATCCTGCCAAAAAAAAAAAAAAAAAAAAAAAATTCTATTAGGTAATCCAGAGCTAGCTATGTGTGTTTAGCCAAAAACTCAAGATGCAAAGTTCATCACAGGGCGGTTACATTTTATAACTGATTGTAAAATATGTAAGTAAAAATATGTAAGAAGTAAAATATGTAAGCAAGTAAGCTGCCCTTCATGTGTTATACTCCCCTCTCTACATGGCACTTTTCCAGCGAAAACTGTAAGGTCCTGCTTCACCATTTTATTTCCAACATTCCTACTGCTGCTACTCATGACAAGAAAGGGTACTTCATTTTACCTGCATGGTTCTATGACTTGCTCACTTTTCCAGATGGAAAAGACAGCATTCAGAAGTTCTAATAGCACAAACAGCACAGAGAATACCAGCCACCATTTAAGTAACTGTTTGGCTGACGAGAATTAGATAAATAAGAACAAGCAATTTACTGTTCACAATCAGATTTTAACACCTACCCTCGTGCTCTGGAATAAACCTTAATTCTCAGCAAGAAAGGACATTTCAATCCTTGGTTCTACTTCTGCCCAACATGTACTTGAATAGAACTCAATAAAAAAAAAAAATTATCAGGAAAGATAAATGTAAAGAGAAGAGCATAAGAAATAAAAAACAAAAACGAAAGTGCTAAGTGAGAAAAAAACTTTATCTCTGGGTATATATGTGACATGCATTACAATCTGAAGTCAAGTTTTAGTTACATGGCAACAGCTATCAGTCGCAAAATTCCATAAAAACTAGACAGACTACACATTAAGCCTAGATTTCCTAACTCCTTGACTTACATGGATTCACCATTCAGGAAAGCATAAAATGCAAATATGCATGTGATATTCCTCACTGTTCCTAACAGTAAAGATCCAAAAGGAAGCACCGTTGTACAAAGCACAAATGGAAGAGCAGTTTGGTCACAATTAACAAAAGCTGTCTACTAGTTTTCATCCAGTAACTCAAAGTTTAGGAGACCTTTCCCCCAGAATACACACAGAAAAGAGCAGCTCTCACATAAACTTGGAATTTCTTAGAATATTTAAAAAGCTCAAGAGTACCTGTATTTATGTTAAGACATGAATTTTGAAAGTTATAGATGACAATGTGCTATCCTTAAATGAACTGATTCCATTTTAATCTTTCACATTCTAGAAAAGAGAGACCTATAACCTCCTATTTTCATCAAAAATTATTTCTCTCAAATTAAAAAAAGAATTATTTCTCTCTGCAACATGGGGGGTTAAGGGGGTAGGAGAAGAATAAATGAAACAAGATGGGATTGGGAGGGAGACAAACCATAAGTGACTCTTAATCTCACAAAACAAACTGAGGTTTGCTGGGGGGAGGGGGGTTGGGAAAGGGGGATGGGGTTATGGACACTGGGAAGGGTATGTGCTATGGTGAGTGCTGTGAAGTGTGTAAACCTGGCGCTTCACAGACCTGTACCCCTGGGGATAAAAATACATTATATGTTTATAAAAAAATAAAAAATTAAAATTAAAAAAAAATTATTTCTCTCAGGGACGCCTGGGTGGCTCAGTCAGCTGGGCATCCAACTCTTGGCTTCCACTCAGGTTGTGATCTCATGGGTCATGAGATTGAGCCCCATGTCGGGCCCTGTGCTCAGCATGGAGTCTCTCTGGGACCCTCTCTCCCTCTTCCTCTGTCCCTCCCCCCACTCGAAGGCACAGGTGTGCTCTCTAAAATAAACAAAAATAAATCTTAAAAAAAATTATTTTTCTGAGTATAATACAAAAAACTATCATGGAGTACTAAAAGCTCCATCAGAGTAGGCTGGGTCGCAGTGCCTAACCAAAAGTGTGTTAAATGAACAAGGGAAAGCTCAAAAATGACTACCATACTCACTAAATCACCTCTGATCTTCCCAGGTTGTCTTTTCTATTTAAGTCCTTCACAGTTTTGAGAGTCCATAAAATCAATGTAAAAAGGCATAATTTTTAAATCCGCAAATGTCAGAAATTCTAAAGATGCTTTTATGCAACTGATTAGAAATCTGTTTTCATAAACTGCTTGAAACATGCTTCATTCCTACAGTCCTCTGTAAGATAATTGTCATATATACCTAAAATAGTTAACTGAATTTTAAAAATGACCCCCATATTAAAACAAGTACTGTATTCCATATGCTAACAGAAATTTTTTGGAGTGAAATTTAAATCCAACATTCTATTTTAGAAAGAACAGAACTGTTTACATAAAGGATTAATTGTCAAAGCAGACTCCTATGAATCATGTTCACCCACAAAAGACAACCTTCCACTTACCACTACGTGGTCTACAAGTGTTCAATGACTAGAATAGTGACCAGCCACGGTTCTGTAAATTCTGGATTTCATCAAGGTTTCAAGGTCTTCTTGAATCAGTTTTTATAAGTTGGATTTTTCTAGGTATTTGTCCATTTCATCCATATTTTTTTTTTCAAATTTCTTGGTATGATATTGTTCATAATAGTATTTTGATGTATTTGTAATACTCAAGAATCTATAGTAATGCACCCTTCCTTGTTCATTCTTCAAATTGTTTCATGATGTTTTCTTTTCTTTCTTTCTTAATCAGTTGCCACACCAGTGTGTAAATTTTATTAATACTGGCAAAGAATCAACTATTAGCTCTGTGGATTCTTCCTTATACATTTGTTTCCAGTTCATTATTTCCTACTTTGATCTTTATTATTTCCTTCCTTCTACTTTCTTTGGGTTTATTTCCTGTTTTTCTTTTTTTCTAGCTCCTGAGATAAACATTTCATTAATTTAAAAGTTTTTGTTCTTTTAATACATACATTTAGCTTGATCAATTTCCTTCAAAGTAATCCTTTAGCTGTATCCCTTGCATTTTTCTCTTAGTTTTAGGTTTACAACAAAATTGAGAAGGAGGTACAGAAATTCCCATATACCCTTTGCCTCCTCCCATGTATACTCCACTATCGATGTCACTCATCAGAATGGTATATTCTACATATCTACATTTTTTATTGAGGTATAGCTAACATACAATGTTATACTAATTTCAGGTATACAATATAGTGATTCAACAATGCTAAACATTATGCAGTGTCCACCACAGTAAGCACAATTACCATCTGTCATCAGCCAGAGTTATTACAATATTATTGACTATGTTCTCTATGCTGCACTTTTCACCCCGTTGTTATTTATTGCATAACTGGAAGTTTGAACTTCTCCATCCCCTTCATGTATTTCACCCATTCCCCTTTCATTCTCTCCCTCTCCCTCCACACTGGCAACCACCAGTGTGTTCTCTGTATTTATAAGACTAGCTGTTTTTGTGTTTGTTCATTTGCTTTGTTTTTCAGAGTCCACATATAAGTGAAATCTCATGGTATTTGTCTTTCTCTAACTTATTTCACTTAGCAAAATACTCCCTAGGTCCATCCATGTTGTTAAGAATGGCAACAGTTTATTCTTTTTTATGGCTGAGTAATACTCCACTGTGTGTGCATGTGTGCACGCGCGCGCGCGCATGTGTGTGTGTGTGTGTATACACGTTTACATCTTCTTTAACCCAGAACGGTATATTTCTTACCAAAGATGAACTACATGGATACACCCTAATTACTCAAAGTCTATAGTTTAATATCAGATATACTCTTGGTGCCATACATTCTACTGGTTTAGATAAATGTATAAGGACATCTATCTACCATTATAAAATTATACAGAGAATTTTCACTGTCCTAAAAGTCCTCTGTGCTCTTCCCATTTATCTTTTCCCCCTTAATGTATACTTTTTAATTACTTCCTAAACACCACAGAAAGAATTTTATACACAAAGTTATCTGATTACTGTTAAATCATTCAAAGAACAAAAAGTTTGCTCTTTAACAGCTTTAAGGTAGGTGTAATAAAACTGCAAGTCCTTGGACCTTTTAAAATAATTTAAATCTTCTTAAAGTACTTATCTATTTTTTAAGTTTTTATTTTAAGTAAGCTACACACACAACATGAGTCTTGAACTCATAACTCAGAGATCAACAGTCACATGCTCTACCAAGTGAGCCAGCCAGGTGCCCCTTAAAGTATTGATCCTAAAAGTTAAAACTGGAAAGCAAAGAATTCCTTCATCTTTGAATCCCTGGGAAGCAAACAATTCTGCAGTATCAAGCATTAGTTAAATTTCTGGTTAAAGTGATTATCAAGTTAAAAAAAAAGGGATTATCAAGTTAATATCTAAATTAGTGATAGTTTGGTTTATTAGCAGTTATATATACAATCATATGTCCATAACTTAAACTATAAAAAAATAAATCTTAGAGATGTACATGGTAAGACTTAATTTATAAGAAAAATGTTTTATTCAAAGACTTTGCTTTTTCATTAGAAATAGGCCTTTTCCTTTACCTGGTGCGCAGCTCTGGAAGATTTAGAAAACTGTTTTTCCAAGATGTTCTTCAAATCTACTGGTAAACTACCCTGTGAGCTAGAACTAATAAAGAAAAGTGTTGAGTTATTTTAAAATAAAACAGTCTTGCTTATATAAAGAATATATTTACTGAAGGCCATTTTTTAAAAACTGTAGTATAGTTGACATAAAATGTTACATTAGTTTTAGGCACACAACACAGTAACTAAACAATGCTATACATCACACAAAGTTCACCACAGGAAGTGCAGTCACCACCTGTCACCACACAACATTATTACAATATTGTTGACTATATTCCCTATGCTGCACTTTTAATCTCCATGTGAAGGTCATTTTAAACACTGAATAAATGGAGAGTCACTAGTGCCTACACTGAAATATTACCAAGAAGCTGATTCTCCCCCAAACCACTCTCTAAATACAATGAAATCTCAATAAAAATCCCTATAAAATTAGAGATGAGGGGGGCCAAATGAATTTATTATAAAGATGGTATGGACGAACTTAAAAAAAAAAAAAAAAGAAATTGGGGGGATTTATGCTGATCATCAAAAGTTATTATAAATGTAGTCATAACATAGCCTTGAAACAAGAAATGTGCCCAGTAAACATTGCAAAGATGCACCACCTCATATGAAAATCTAGTAAGATACAACTGTTTCAGAAAGTCTGACTTCCAATGCTGGTGAGGGTAAGGAAGGTTCAGGTACGCTAGGTGGTGTTTTCTGACATCAAATAGTTGCTATTCTCTACATCAATTCTCCAATACCCAGTGTCCAACAACTCAATTCCATTTTGACACCAACTCTGGAGCTAACATAGGCCGTACAGGTTAAAGCCCCAGTCCCACAAGGCTGACCCCACTTCAGGCATTATGCCCTTACCCCTACTGTCGGCCACAATGAGGTGCTCAGGCTACCCACACTACTGCCTGGTGGACGACAAACTCAGAGGCTCCTGTGACCCTCCCTCAGGTTCAACAACTTCTTAGAATGACTCACCGAACTCAGGAAAGTGCTCTACTTATTATTACTAGCTTATTATAAAGGATATAATTCACAGCAGCCCAATGGAAGAGAAGCACAGGAAGGCATGAAGGAGGGGAATGCTGCAAAGCTTTCATGCTGCCCCTGAGTGCCCCACCTTCCCAGCATCTCCATGTACTCAGCAACCAAGAAGCTCCCCTGACCCCATAGTTCAGAGGTTTCTTCTATCAAGGTTTCATCACATAAGCATGAATAATCATTACTAGTCATTGGTGACCAAACTCAACTTCCAGGCTCCTTCCCCTTCTTGGAGATCAGGGGGTGGGGCTGAGAGTTCCAACCCTCCAATCACACACTTAGTCTTTCTGGTGACCAACCACGCCAATCCTGAAGGTAGGGGACCAGCCTTGAGTCACCTCATTAGTATAAGTAAAGTAGAAAGAACCTCATTATGAAGAACAAAAGATATTCTTTCCACTCTGAGAGTTCCAAGGGTTTTAAGTGCTCTGTGACAAGAACTGAGGACAGAGACCAAATATATACACACATTTTTTATTACAACACACTCCCCCACAGCTCAGTAAGAGTGTGAAATGTGCTCACTTTCTGGGAGGACAATGTGACAGTATCTAGCAAAGTTAAAACCACACATCCTCTTTGACAGAGCAATTCCACTCTAGAAATTTCTTCTTCAAATATACACCTATACTATGAATTATCCTGTAGCCATGAAAATTAAGGATGTTGATCTCCATGAAGTAGACATAATCAAATAAGAAGACCTCAATTTGAAAACAAAAACAAAACATTGGAAAATAAATTTTTCTTTAGCAGAACAGTTTAAAACTATAACTATGCATTCAAAGAGTAGCACTGTATGTTTTTGGTTTATTTTGAGGTTTAACAGGGGAAGGGAAGACTCGGGATTTTTCTACAGAATAAAGGAACATAGTATCTAAGCCCTTGCTTTAAATTAAAACTTTTGTAGCAACATCAAAAACCAGTCATTTTCTGAAGATGGAGTTTTACTAGTTTCTCTTAGTGCTTTGATATTAAAATCCTTCTCCCTGAAGCACCTAATCAGGAGAAAGAAAAGAAAGCTGACAGCTGGTCTAACTGTGGCAGAAATGGTTTTGCAGGGTCTCCAGCATCACTTTCCTTGACCTCATGAACTTTTATATTCACTGTAAGATTTACAGTTTCACTTTGCAATCAATATATAGCTGGTAGGCAACAGAGGGGTTAATTATAAAGATGGGTGGCAAGAGGTCCGTCCTACTGTTAATTTTGGTGGTCGGGGGTGTTTGTTAGAACTAACTTTCTAAGTTGTCGCTTCATTAGTGAGCATGTTCCTTTAATGAAAACTACCCAGAAGGGCCCCTAAATATACACATACCCATGCCTGCTTCCCTGTGGCCACGAACTCATTAACACAGAATCCCTAAAGGAAGCCACCAGAGAAGCAATTGTGGGAAAGGTGAAATTTTAAGGTGAGCAAGGAGAAGATGTGACTCTCACTTTATACTTTTCTGAATATTTTTTCTTTGTATGGGAATATATTTTGGGATTTTTAAGAATTAACACTGCTATATCTCATATTCCATGCTTTCGAGACATTTACTAACACCCAGGATTAATAATCCTTTAGCCAAAAACAACACTCTCCTAAAGATATGCCTTTGATATTTGAAAGGGGGGAAAAAAACCACACAGATAAAAAACATACCTGAACTTCTCCAATTCATTGTTTCGAGATTTTTGTTTTCCTTTATATTTTGGAGGCTGACCTGTGAATACAAAGTATTTGTTCCTGAAATCTGTTCATAAAAATCAACAAGCCTGAAAGTAAATTAATTAAAAATATGTACATTGGAATAAGCAGCAAAGGAAGCAATATTCTATGTGAGTGTAATTAGTACAAACAGGTGAAAAACCAGACACAATGATGTTTGTCTACGTATGCTATAAAAGTATTGTGAACATTAATCACATATTACTTAGGCCTAAAGTAGATATAGAAAGATACAGGCCACAGTTCCTGTCCTGAGGTTTTTATAATCAGATGGGAAGAAAAGGCAGTCACCAGGAATTACGCAACAATCACCTTTAGGAAGACGAGAAGACAACACGTTGTTACTGACGTATGAATTCCATATTAACTGCTCTTACAACTCACAGAGGTGGACATCACTTAAGGTCCAACGGCCAGGAAAAACCTTAGTGGGGATACAGCATTTGTATTTAGCTTTAAGGAACAAGTAGGATTTGGGGCACCTGCGTGGCTCAGTCAGTTAAGCATCTGATTTTGGCTCAGGTCATAATTCTGGGGTTCTGGGATGGAGCCCCACAGTGGGCTCTGTGCTCAGCGAGGGGTTTGCTTGTCCCTTTCCCTCTGCCCCTTCTTCCACTCATACTTGCTCTCAAATAAATAAAAGTTTGAGAGAGAAAGAGAGAGAAACAAACAAGTAGGATTTAGATGGGATGGACCAAACCCAAGAATGACATTCACTTTAAGAAACATTAAGTACTAAGCCTGTGTGATCTGGTAAGCTGGGTAAGAAAAGAAAGTTAGAAAGGGGCAGTGAAGGCCAACTGGAGCGAGTGCTCATGGGTCCTTTGCTTCTGATACTCCAGCTCTGTGAGCCCAGCCTTTGTCCCACTGGCAAGAGCAAGGACCACTGCCTACTTTGGAGTGGGGAGGGCCATGCACAAAGGTATGTAGAAGAAAGCACAGCAATAGGGACAGGGTTTTTTTGATGGAAGCTTTGGGAAGAGATAGCAGAGGCGAGTCAGAACCTATGGATTAAGAAGGGGATCAGAGCCAAGCGGGTTTGGATGGCCTCAGAACACAAAAGAGGCTTCCAGAAAGGCAGGAGAGTTCTAATTTGATTCCTTCTGATTTCAGGCAAAACTACACAGCCCTAACCCTGGGACCTCAATTTCTTTGACTAAATCCAGATGCTGAAGTGTAGGTGGTATTTAAAACATTAAATTAAATGTGCTATCTGATAATAACCGTCCAAGAAATATCAATAAATTAAAAAGATTTTTCCAAAAGAAAAGTTTTATCCTCAAGGATTTTTCATGTGCTATTAGACTTACATCAGATAAGACAATCACCTGAGTCTCCCTCTTTGTAATTTTCTAATGTGCTAACCAAACGGGAAGGGCCAGTGGTAAACAGCTGGGTATGTGGCACTGAAGCCTGAGAAGAGACAGAACTGAGGGAAGGAAAAGACAGAAATGGCTGCCAGAAGCAGAAACACTGAAAACAAACCAGCCAACAAGAAAAAGGAAAAGAGAGCACCAACAAGATCACTATCAGGTCAGCAATCTCATCCCCATAACCTCTGAAAGCTTCAGACAAAAAATTTGCATCTAGGGGCACCTGGGTGGCTCAGTGGGTTAAAGCCTCTGCCTTCAGCTCAGGTCATGATCCCAGGGTCCTGAGATCAAGCCCCGCATCGGGCTCTCCGCTCAGCGGGGAGCCTGCTTCCCTTCCTCTCTCTCTCTCTGCTTGCCTCTCTGCCTACTTGTGATCTCTGTCTGTCAAATAAATAAATAAAATCTTAAAAAAAAAAAATTTGCATCTAACAGCAACGTTGAGTCAACAAAATCTGTATTTTTCTTAAACTCTGTTATAAAAGGCAGGGAAGCATATAATCTGCTTTAGAATGATTTACAACAAAATCTGGTCATATAAAGGGAGACTGAGAGGTGTGCCTGGGTGGCTCAGTGGGTTAAGCCTCTGCCTTCGGCTCAGGTCATGATCGGGGTCGTGGGATCCAGACCCGCAATTGGGCTCTCTGCTCAGCGGGGAGTCTGTTTCCCCCTCTCTCTGCCTGCCTCTCCGCCTACTTGTGATCTCTCTCCTCCTGTCAAATAAATAAATAAAATCTTAAAAAAAAAAGGGAGACTGAGAAATAAATGGAAGATGAAGGTTCACTTCTCTGGACCCTTTATTTCCCAATGATGCCAAGTAAAAGAAGTCCTGCTGTGTGTGTCTGCGTATTTATTAGATGCAGAAATAAACATACACACTGAGCATGTACCAGTTAAACTAGTATTGGCCTAAAGCATCCATTCTGAAAACCACCCTGAAAAGGGTGAAAGTTAGTTTAAGAGGATGAAAAAATAATCTGAATTTTTAATATATAAAACAGAGATGTACATACAGGACATACATGAACAGTACCTGTAGGAGGAGGAGGCAAACCGGGAAAAACTCTGTCTCAATAGCCTCCTGAGTCAGGGGCTTTAATAAAACTGAAGGTGAAAAACACTGGCCTCATGGAAATTAGGTAGCAGACAAAGAGTTTTTGTCCTTCCTTTCTATTCCATTTACTTGAATTTCTAAAATTAAATTTATTAAACAATATGAAAAGACTAAGTGTTGATTTCAAATAAGTATTCAGTGTTTTCTTAACACAGAAGCATTATGAAGTAAAAGGAAAGTAACAGCAAATGTATGCAAGACTCATGCAAATGCTGGGGCTGCAGTTTTAGGAATGCTGTATTAATTCAGCAAACAATCCTACCTGATGATGGCAGAATCTTACCTGATGGTGGTAGAAATTCAGGATGACAGTCACAATCATCTACCTTCAAAGCTTCATCTACCACCTACCCATGAAAACAAAATTTGTGAGATTTTCAAAAAAATAAAGCCATAAAGAATTCAATAACTAAATAATAAAAAAGAATAGAACAGAATTTACCCAAGAGCCTAAAATAACCAGCTGGTAATTAGGCCTAAATGAATAAAAAAACAAAATGATAACTAATGATAAGAGATTCTAATATGACAAATTCTCTAATGATAATTTGACTTCCAACACTTGGCATAATGCCTGACAGGTCTATTGTTCAATAAGTATACTGAATAAATATTATCGCATCTTTCCTTATGCTCCTCTAACTGAATACAGCCTCTCAGACTTTTATTAACAATAAAAGGACTACACAGTGAGCTGGAAAAGTTCCCTTAATGCCTACTAGCCACATACTCCAAAACACCACTTCCTTTTTCCCTCGCAAATCCTAGAAAGAAGTATTAACATAGACTTGGTGATAATGCCAAGTTTTTAGCACACTGCCGTTCAGAGGAAAACTCAGATTCAGGTCATTTGGGATACCAATCACAGAGCCAGGCTAAAAGGCTTAGAGGGGTCCTCAGAAACCATGAGGCCTGGGTGCTGGTAAGCTCAGCAGGGAGTCAAGGCTGGGGACCACTGCTGGGAAAAGCAACAAAGGCTGCAGAAATGCCTTGGGCAGAGATGGGAAGGGTGTGCCTCCCAGGCCCAACATAACACAAATCGGATGGGCAAGTGTGGTGCCAGGTAGCTAAGAGATTGCAAAAGGGAAAAGGGAGAAGAAAAATTGAAAGCACTATAAGGAATGGGATGACAAGGCCACTAGACCCCACTGTCACTCATTCCCAAGTGGCTGTTTGACTGAGAGACATGTAAAGCAGGAAAAGCATACTAAGAGAATTACCCAAGTAGTAAAATGAAATTTAGAAAAAAAATATTTTGAAAACACACAAATGTGATCTCAAAAGAAACTGTCATACTGAAATATTCATAGTTGAAGGAGATAGTTAGAATATTAAAAAGAAAAGACTCACTCTCTTCATATTAGAGGCAAAAAGGAATTCATACCATCAAAATACTTAATTTCGTTCTCACCAGACTACTACTGTGAAAACATGAGACTACCTATACTTGAAACCATTTTAATTTTAGCTTTTAACTGAACCTACCTTTAGATTCTGATTACCACCGTTTGCCATTTCGTGGTTAGATTTTCTGGAATCTTTTTCGGTTTCCACAAAGTTAAGTGAAGTACTAAATGCAGGTGCTGATAAACTGGGTATGTAGGCCCTGAGAGGAAATACGAGAAATAATAATTTTATTTCTACTGATTAGCATGCATTTTTAAAAAGTTATCCTTCAAATAAATAGGTTCCAGCAAATACCACTTTTCTTCCTTGAAAGCAGGGTCATACTGTTTTTAAAAAGGATCACCTCTGAGATTGGGCTTTATACACAAATATTGCTTTAAATTTCATAGTAAAAACTCAAAATAGATTAAGAACAGTTCAATATGTATTCTGATTTCTAATATTAAAATAAGTAATTCTCCCAGTCTTAAATTTAACAGCTTCAATATCTTGGGCATCTAAAGCATGTGGGGAAAATATCTATTTTTAGTGCCAAGTAATAAATGTAGAACCCTGGCTGTTATTTGTTTCCTTGTGAGTATATTCGAATCTGTCTGTTGTCTATTTCTAACAGAAAGTGTCCTAGTCCTTAACAAGATACTGGGAGGCTGGTGGCAGATGTTTCCAGGACAGAGGCTAAGGGTTAAAGGTACAGACTGTGTCCCTGCTCTCTGCCAGGACCCTCAATGTAAAAACCGCTCCCACCCAAGCACAGTGACATCCACTTAACACTTCACCCACCTTTTCCCAAGGCTTAGGCTACTGAGCTCCCACAAATATGCATAGAAATGTTTCAGTAAAACAGTTGGCAAAACAAATCTGACAATTCACAGGTCACCTGATCTGAGACACAAACCCCTCTTTCTTCCCTCACCAACTTTACTGTGGTTGTTATTAGCCACAAAGCATCAGATAGAGTGATTCTTAAATCTACAGGGCAAAACCATCCCAAGTAACAGCTACTGATCTGATTGGAATTAACTCACCTGCTTTCATAAAAGGCTTTAATTGGATTTCTAGTTGGTGTTCGACCTATAAAAATCAATCACACACATGCATAGTAATCAGTGGACTGGCAACACATACTTTGAAGAGATTTTCAAATACCCCTTAAGCTGACAGTAAGAACATCAAATTTACAGAACTGAAAAATAAACCTTAATAATTTTATATTTTCAGATGTTCTGAGTTTTAGGATGGCGTCAGCAAAATGTTACACAGCGTTATTTGACATACCATTACACGTGATCATCGACTAGATGCAGGAGTATATAAATCTGAATCAGAGATGGTACCTGTCTTCAAGGAGCTCACAATCTTATAATCATGTTACATTGGATAATAACAGCTCAGCTCAGCTCCCTAAGACACTAAATACCCAAAAAGATAAAAGAGGAAAGACCTATACACTAAAAGTATAGAGTAAGGGAATTTCAGGCATTGGAGAAAGCAAAATACTTAGGAGAGAAAACAAGAGAATGAAAATCTAGAATTCCTAGCCCACACACCTGATTTGTGATATATGTGTACATACCCACATACAGATGTATATATGCAAAAATGTTCCGCATGCTATAGAATGAGCCACACACTTGGTGCAAAAACATCAAACAATTCTACTGCAGGGTCTTTTCTTTAAGAAATAACCATAACGGAGGAAAAACTTTTAAATAATTTTGTTTCAAAAGTCTTCACTTTACCTAAAATCTCAAGGTGGCATATTTTACTACAGAAGAATAAATAATAATTTGTTATTTCAAATAAAAAATTCAAATCATTTATAATTACCTAGTGGAATATAACACTAACATACTTCAACACAGACAGAAATGGAAAACTTCAGTGACTTGACCAAGATAACGTAACAAAATAAGCACAAATCACCTGAGAGTTGATTTACGGTCCTCCATTAATCCAAGAAACCCACCTTCAAAAGTCTTAAAGGGAATTCGACTGTAACCAAAGAATCTTAGGTGAAATACCTTGCAGGTCTTCTATTTGTTTTTGTAACTTTACATGCTGCTGAATTAGATCCTTGATTCCCTCAGGGTCATTTTTACAGAGTTTTTGAGCTTTTATGTTTGCTTGCAGGGCCCAGTCATATTCCCCCAGCATAGAAAGAGCAGCACAATAACGATAATGACCCTGTTCCAAAAGATAAATTTAATTTTTTCTCAAAAATATGCTTAAGTTAAAGAAAATAGATAAGGAAAAATATTTTGCTTGCAAACTAATTACTTAAAATGTTAGATAGGATCCTATCAATGAAAAATTTTTAAAAATGTTAGTACCTATGAGGAAATAAAATTACCTAAATGAGCTGAAGTGAACTTATGAATAGTATTTATAATAATTTTAACTAGAGATCAGTATTTTTGCTTAAGAGATTTCTGTACCCCAAAGAAAATAATTCAACCTTTATTATATTTTACTAGTAAAGAATGAAATATATTATTTTATGCCAAATAAAGTACAAAAAATTTCATTAAAAATAAGTAACTTAATTTTTTCAAAATATTTTAAGGCAGTAATAGTCTCTAAGTCACTGTATTCCCTACACTTTGAAAATCAAAGAAATTTTAGAGCTGAAAGGAACAATCAGCTAATACATTCATTTTCCAACCCCTCCGAAGGATATGGTCAGATAAGGGGTACATCTAGGCTAGATCTTCCATTCAGTTTGCTCTTAATCAGCTTTTAATTATTTTATCTCTAAATGTATTTCTTGGCTTTAAGAAAAGGTCCGAAAACCACAGATTTACTCAGTTCCAATGATCAGGGATTTTGTTTTGTTTTGGATGCTACAGAACCACATCCTGGCTGGCCCCATTTACGCTTTTTAGGAAATCTATCTCAAGGATGAACATTTTAACCTAGAAAGCTAATATTACCAAGCCTGAAGTTAGTTAACTCAACCACCCCCTCTTCTAGCTACTCACAAACTAAACTCCCATTGTAGGCACAGTATCTCCACTTGTGAATTGACTTACCCATGAAAGAGGCTAGAAATTGGCCTAATGTCCTACTTATTTAGAGGCAAACCAAAGAATCCTGACCTTATGACTCCAGGTCCAGAGCTTTTTCCTCCTTCCTACAGATTTTACAAAGAATATTCTCATTCTAAGAGAAACTACTAAATCAAAAATAAGTAACCCTTTTAGCAAAGATGAGCTTTTCACTAAAAAAAAGCCAGAAACAACTTCGGGGACGTTTGTTTATGCAGGTTCGGTACATATGTAATCCTGCTCCTGCACACCATCCCAAGTTCCGAAGCACTGTTTTTTAGCCAGACTACTTAGACTCAGATCTCAATCAGATTACATTTGCTCAAACTTTGCTTTTCCTCAAAAGGCATATGAAGATAAATCTCTCAGATACGCCACAAGACCAACATCCTATCACCCAGAACTATTTCAACTTCAAAATTTAGGTAATTACATTAAAAAAGCAATCACAGCATAAGATACATGATAGATTATAAACCATACCTGCTAAATTTATAAAAAACACTTTTTTTTTAATCTTGCCCATCCCCCGGCTCCCCAGCCTCCCACCTTCCTTATCTTTTCCTGGGTCCTTTTCCCTAAACTCTGCAAAACCTAGTATAATGTCAATTGGTTGAAAAATGAATTTATTCAGATCTCATTGCTCAGGTTATTTGAATGATGCTCAAATTAAAAGGTATCTCAGAGAGTTTTCTGAACCCAATTACAATACAAAGTTTTACTTTTCTTTGACATTACCTCATTCTCTTTCACATATACAGAAATTCCCTATTGTTCATCTGCCGAGCATCCCCTCCTTTTGGTGCCACCATGTCCCTACTCCACACAGCAATGGCAGAACTGGGACTAGTGCTCCATCTCAAAAATGAATGGGGAGAAGCATATGACCCAGGAGACCGACCAACTGAAATATGCACCATTTTCTAGGTCATAGGATCAATCCACTGGTGAACACATGGCTCAATCAGGATCAGTGTGAGGCACCCATTAGGTGTACTATATAGATACTAAAAGAGGTTCTATTGCCACTAGAATTAACAGTTATTAAGGATACCAGTTTGGGGTTCCCACTACATGGTAAAAGTCTTTTTCAAAAAACCAAGAGAGCCCACACTCTAATTACCACTGGTGGTCAAGATGGAGTTAACAAGGATTTGGATTTATACTCTTGCCCAAAACAAATAAACAAGGACAAAACACATGAAACAAAGGTTTGCAAGACACTGAGTGATTATCAGGCAACAAAACAGAGTGACCCCTGAAAAACACAACACAAGCCCTATGACTGCTCCAGCTTACTGAATGGAATTTCTAAGCCCTGGTACAGGGAGAAGGAACCCAGGCAGGGACACTGGCAGTCTCAGTTCAGAAGACAGAGACAGGAGTCCCGGAGAGCCAAGGCAGCACACATTCACAGGGCAGAGGACCAAGAGGAGACTGCTCCACAGAGAAATCCTGAGATCCTTACCTAGTCCCCCCGAGTTGAGTCTTCAGGTGAGTACTAATCAGTATATGCATGTGGGACAACCACCTGAAACCCAAACCAGGGGAAGAACGACTAGAAAGACTAATAAGGAAACAAGAGTCAGCACTCACACAGGGCCACGAATAATTCCTGCTTCTACCAGCCAGACTGGAAAACATCATAATCCATGGAGTAACGGGCAGAGTGTTCAGAAGCATTTTGATTCAGTTGTGAATAAAAAGATAGCCCTTGACCAAATACCACTATGGTCCCACCTATCAAAACTTAAAACAAGACTCCAAAGACTTACACTGCTTCCAAGTAACTTTACTGCATCCCAAAAGGAAGCTCAAAAATATTTATAGATACACACAAATATCAGTATTGATAAAAAATTACTAGGTACGCAAAGAAGGAAAATATGATCTATAAGAAGAGAAAAATGAGTCGACTGAAAATACTCAGAAAGGACACAGATGATAGAATTAGTAGACAAGGCCTTCTCTGCGTAGAAGGGTCAGGGAGAGACTCGTCAGCTAGAGAATTTTTCAAAGAGACAGCGAGAGAAGGAACACAAGCAGGGGGAGTGGAAGAGGGAGAAACAGGCTTCCCGCAAAGCGGGAAGCCCAGTGTGGGGCTCAATTCCAGGACCTGAGAATCATGAACTGAGCCGAAGGCAGACGCCTCATGACTGAGCCACCCAGGCTGGGCCTCTTCTCAGGCTTGACTTCTGCACATCATTGGGTATAAAAACCTTAGTGCAGACGTGGAAAAACTGTGCAGAGAACCCTCTGATTCTGATAACTTCCAACATGAAGAAATGCTTTTGAAGGATTTTTAAGAAGTCACACAACTTAATTATCCATTAGAGAAGCAAAAGTTATACATCTATTTCATCCAATGACAAATCAAGAATATCTGAAGTTGGCAAGATGGCAGAGGAATAGAAGACTGAAATATCATCAGGTCCCAGGACTTCAGCTAGGTAGTTATCAAACCGTTCTGAACACCTACAAACTCAACAGGAGATAGAAGGGAAGAAGAGCGGCAATTCCAGGAACAGAAAATCGACCACTTTCCAGAAAGTAGGATGTGCAGAGAAGTGAATCCAAAGTGACAGGAATATGGACCACAGTGGGAGGGGCTGGCTCCTGGCAAGTGAGAGAGAAGCGGAGCACAAAATGAAAACATTTAGAAGTCTGCTCCACTGAGGAATGTCACTCTAGAAGCTAAGCAGCGGGTGGAGCCCTCCGGGTCTGAGGACCCGTGGGGTCACATAAAGACCAAGGGTGTCTGACTTTGGCAGAGCTGCCAGGTATCGGAGCAGGGAAGCCAGCTACAGAGACGGAGCCGAGGAGTGGGCTCTCAGCTCAGGGTTACCTTAAACCATAATCCAAGGCACAGTCAAGCCACTGCTCTTTGAGCAGGGACCCCACAAGTGGCAGATCCAGAGAGACCCCTCCTTCCTCCTCTGGGAGGAGCAGCTTGGGAGTGTGCTGCAGGAATCTACTGGGTTTGGAGACGCCAAACGGTGCCATGCACCTGAGAGAGAAACAGGCAGTCACAGGCTGGGTGAGCTCCAAGTGCAGCTGGTGACCAGGGAAACAGGAGGGATTGACTGCTTTTCTCTGAGGGCACACTAAGGAATGGGGCCCTTAGCTCTTGGCTCCTACAGGGCCAGAGACTGTGAGGCCACCATCCTCATTCCCATTCTCCAGAGTTGTACAGAAAGCATTCAGGGAACAAAAGCTACCCAGAGCAAACCCAAGCAGATGACTTAGCCTGGCCCTGGTTCTCTAAGCAAAGAGAGAGCCTAAAAGTAACAGACCAGAAAGGAATAGAGACAATATACAGTAACAGTCACCTTACAGGCAATACAATGGCACTAAATGCACATCTCTCAATAGTTACCCTGAATGTAAATGGGCTAAATGCCCATATCAAAAGACACGGGGTATCAGGTTGGGTAAAAATACAAGACCCATCGATATGCTGTCTACAAAAAAACTCATTAAAGACCCAAAGACACCTCCAGATTGAAAGTGAGGGGTTGGAAAACAATTTACCATGCTAATGGACATCAAAAGAAAGCTGGGGTGGCAATCCTTATATCAGATATATTAGATTTTAAGCCAAAGACTATAATAAGAGATTAGGAAGGACACTATATCCTACTTAAAGTGTCTATCCAACAAGAAGAGCTAACAATTTTAAATATCTATGTCCCTAACATGGGAGCAGCCAATTATATAAGCCAATTAATAAAATCAAAGAAATACATTGACAATAATACGATAATACTAGGGGACTTTAACACACACCCCCCTCACTGAAATGGACAGATCATCTAAGCAAAAGATTAACAAGAAAATAAAGGCTTTAAATGACACACCGGACCAGATGGACATAACAGATATATTCAGAACATTCCATCCCAAAGCAACAGAATATACTTTCTTCTCTAGTGCACATGGAACATTCTCCAGAATAGATCACATCCTGGGTCAAATCAGGTCTCAACCAGTACCAAAAGATTGGGATCATTCCCTGCATTTTTTCAGACCACAATGCTCTGAAGCTAGAACTCAATCACAAGAGGAAAGTTGGAAAGAACTCAAATACATGGAGGCTAAAGAGCATCCTACTAAAGAATGAATGGGTCAACCAGGAAATTA